TGTAACAAAACTCGAATCAGCGAAAAGAACGAGACTTTCTTTTGCGAACTTCTGACCTTTTCTTTTGGAGGACAAACTTCGATAATTATTTATTAAAATATAAAAATAATGTTACTTTTTAACCGTTTAATCATGTTAAAATCACATAAATTAAAAAATATACAAATTAAATAATTTTTAATACAAATTTAACGGTTAAAAATAAAAAAACTACTTCTATCATTTTTTTCTGATCAAAGCTCCCAAACGAGCATAATTTGATGTGCATTTTGAAGGGTACTATTCACTTATGTTAATACGAATCACTAAAGGCCAAAAAGTAAAGTATGTTATGTATTGCTTTTGTTTCTTTTTGTTTGTTTAGTGCATAATCATTGATCCTGATTGGCTGTCCTCTCACAATCATTGGCATCGCCTTGTAAACAAAAACATAATAAATCGTTTGTTTTGGTGGCGATGACATGACCGTTGGCCTATTGCAAGGGCAAAACTTAAAATCTCAGCAGAGCCCCGTCACACTTACTTGGTCCCACCGGCTAAGTCGATGGCCGATATAGTGCATTGGTGGGGTTCTTATAAATAACTCGATTGTGAAAACGTGCGTTTAGTTTAAAGATTTGTGTCATAATTCGTGATTCGTTATAATATTTTTTTTCATAAAAAATATATATAAATTAAAAATAATTCTAAATCTATTAACCAAACGTCATCTAAATTTTTTTTATCTAATATGATATAAAAATATTCTCATGTAGTTATATACTTATATATCGTCAGTTTATATTAATAATCATAAATAAAGTTTCAAAAAAATCATATTTAAATAAAAACTGGATAATTTAATTTGATTTAATAAAAAAAATTATTTAAAATTGTACCCTGTTAATATAATATATGTTTTGTGACCTAGAGGTTAAAAAATGACCACATACCCATAAATCACCGATATCTAACTTGACGAGTGAGCAATTCAGCTTACAATATAAAAGAGTGTGTTGATCTAGCCGGAACTAAGATTATGAGCTTAGGTTAGGTTGATGTCTTTAAGCCCACGGGGCCGAACTAGCTCAACATGGTTTAGATTTGGTTACTCCATATTCAGCTCAAATGTTTTTTTTTTTGGCACTTTAAAGATTAAAGATTGTATACAATTTACACTCACATAACAACATTAACTCCATATTTTCTTTATGTTTTTATGATGATTTGGTTACAGACTCAAATATCGCTATAACAACAACATCAAAATGAGTATGTGAACATTTAGTTTATAGATTTAGAATTATTTTTGATCTGTGTGCATTTTTTATGAGAAAAAATACTGTAACGAACAACGAACTATTATCTGAACTATGACACGAATCCACAAGCTAAACGCATACTAAATCTACTGTCCTTTTAGACCGTTTCCTCAATAAAAATTTAACACGTTTAAATAACTTTACTTTTCTCATCCATAAACAGAGCTTTTAACGTCCGTTAAATACTCCGTTTTACCTTCAAAGTAAAAGAAAATATTTAATAATGGGATATGCTTCTTCATCTCGTCTAATGAGTAAGTGCAAGCATCAAAACATTCATGCCTTATTCAGTTGTATTTTTAAGTTATTATGATTTGAGTGTAGATTTTGAGTTATAACTTGAGTTGAAGTTGTAATTTGAGTTTGTATTTAATTATGTACATTTGAGTTATAATTTGAAATAAAAATCTTTTTGAGTTTATATTTGAGTGAGTCAAAACTTGAATTTGAGTCGTGACTTGTGAGCTAGGTTAAGCCCCATTCTTTCTTTCTTTTTAGGGACGACAGACGTGTAGCCCAACTCAAAATACCATGCACGCTTATAAAAATTAGATCATATCATATTTGTTCTATCCAACTTATAAGTATAATTTTGTTATAATTTTGTTGAGAGACTTTATTTGTAGAGTCTCTTTATCAGTAAGGTTAATTTTTAGTTATTAGATTGGTCAAAATTACATCATATTAAAAAAAATATGCAACATAAATAATTTTTTATACAAATTTAAATGTTAAAAATAAAAAATTATCGATACTTTATTTTTTTAATCTCTACCAAAGAAAACTATGTTCTTTTGACATCTCAAAGTTTCACACAAAAACAATGTATTTATGTGGCCCACAAACTACTCCTTTTTACACGTCTCATACGTGTAAATGCAAATTCCTTTCACACTTTAGTACTAACAAAAGTTTATTGTTATAAATGATATTAATCAGCAGCAATTTAAAAAGTTTATTCTAATATCTTAATTTTAAAAGTATTATAGAGCATGGTATATTAAACCGCATAATTTCAAACCATAAAATCCCATTAAAATCATATCACAAAACATCTATAAAACATGTGAAATTTTATAATTATCTAAGTATTCAAAAGTCATAATAAGATATTTTTTTTCCTTTTCTTTTTTTTTCAGTTTTTCAGAGCAATGATGCCAACCTCATAATCCGTGTTCCTAAATGTTACATTTAATTAATACTTGAAAATAAAAAGATATGCAAAAATAATATATTTCAAAAATTTTACAACACTTAAAAACTCTCACAAAAAGTTATGTTTAACTTTTTTTACTATAATAAAAAACTTATATAAAATAACATGTCAATTCAAATTAAAAACTTGAATTCGTGAACTGAACGAGACTTAAAACTCGTGGTTGAATAATAAAAATTTATGATTTAAACAGAGTATTATTGGTAAAATTCTCTTTTTTTTTAATACCCTACCAGCCAAAAGAAAAAAGGAAATTCCAACAAAATTATTGATCAAATTATCCTTTTTTTTTTTTTATTATTACCCTACCCAAAAAAAAAAAAAGAAAAAAGAAAATCCCTCTTTGTTGGCAAAGTTCCCCTTGATTTTTTTATTTTTTATTTTTGAAGGTTCCACCTACTATCCAAATTGAAAATGTGATCCCATCGTTATCCTTGTCCGAAAAGGGTAGCCGTGTTTATCCCAAATATTTCTTCTCATAATACCTAACCCTTCAAACGCAGCACGAGCCGGTGATTAGTCAACAATCCCAACGACGTCGTATCAAGAAGTTAGGCGACCGGGTTGACTGAGGAAATGAACACGTGGCTCTCTATCAAGGCGATTTCCTAGCATTTTCTTTTCGCAAGAAAGTGGGAATCAATTAAAAAAAAATGCTGAATTGCTGATGTCTGTCACTGCAGCGGATAATGACGACCGTCGTAACTCTATCACTTCGCGAATCGCCATCACTTCGCGAATCGCGAATCGTAACCATCTCAGAGTACACGTCGCGGATCGACGTGACAGTTGCAGGGCTTGGTTCGTGCACACGCTCACACGGAACCACATCTTGATGTCTATGACTATCCACATGAATCATCATCCCATGTTACACTTATAACATGGCATTGGCATTAAAAAGTTGACATTTGGTAAATTTTTTTTTTCTTTCAAAAAGGAAAAAAGAAAAAATTAGTTGAGAAGATTCTTTGGCCCGTGTTTAGCTGCTAAATTTTTACTTGGTCTTTTGATTTCCCTTGTCGTACAGGATTTTATTTTATTTTATTTTATTTGCATCTAGATATTTGTTATTTTCTTCGGAATCTTTCCCTTTCATGTCATTCATGTGCTTAAATTAAATTAAAAAACCCTGACAAAATGTTTCCTACAAGAAAACCCATAAAAGAAATTTGGAAGCCATTTTTTAATCTTAATAGCACAAAAAGATGCTTTGTAAAATTTTAAAGTTAGTTCAGAGTAATCTTTTAAAAGATGTTTGGTACCTAGATTCGTTCTCTGATTTGAATCATGATTCGTAGTTTGTTACAGTATTTTTTCTTAAAAAAATACACATAAATCGAAAATAATTCTAATCACATGGTTCTAATTCATGAACCAAATGTCTCATAATTTTCTAAAATTAACTTCTTCATTTTTTTTAAACGGTAAACGAAAAGAGTTATCTCTCTCGCTTTTTTTTTATTAATCAAAAAGAAGAAAGGATAAAAATGTTGAAAATGTTAAAACTCATGAAAGTAAACGAAATAAAATTATCCCCCCTTGAATTACGACTTCCGGAACTTCCAAATCCCACAACTAACTCATAGAAAAAACTAATTTTTCCTTTCAGAGGATAATTTTTTTTTCTTAATTTTGAAAAGGCATTTTCTTTTGTTAGATCAAATTAAGGAGGATTCTTTTTTTTTTTTTTGATACAAGGAGAATTCTTTTAAGATAAAGAAAGAATAGCCTATCACAATAATAAAAAAAAAGAGAAAATATCCTATCATTATTAATTCATTGTGCTGCCTTGAATCACATATTTGTTTTGATCAAATCCTGTTAACATTACGTGCATTATTATTTCTGTTACGATTTTAACATATCTGAACGGTCAAAAATCCGTAACTACTATACTATATCCTCAAATAATTATTATTCTTTTTGCTTTTTAATAATAATCTATTTCACCAATTTCCGATTCTTTCCACGCATTACGAGGTCCATAAAACCCATCCCATGCGTGTTTGAAGGTCACACTCACACTCACACACACATGCAATGACATAAACAAAAAATCATGGGTAATTTTGTAAATTAACCCCCCCACGAACGAAAAAAAAAAGTCCCAAAGAGAAAATAAATCAATAAAAAAAAAGGAAAGAGGAGTTTGATCTTGATGGTCTTTTTTCCATTTTTAAACAATTTTTAAAAATAATCACATCTAATTTTTTTATTATAATAAAAAATTTTCATATAAAATTATATTTTAATTTAAATTAAAAACTTAAATTAACAAAACAGTTTCAATTTTCTTTCTTCTACTTCATCTATAATACAGTGTATCATCATCACCATCATGCATCATCATTCACCATCATTCATCATCATTCATCATCATCATTTTGGGAGTTTGTGAAGAAGGTCCAAAAAAGGCAGTTCACACACAAGAGGACCTTCAACGCACAAACCCAATTTACCCTTCTCTTTCTCTTCTTCCTCCTCCTTCTTATGTTTCATCACTAAAACTTATAAAAATAATAATAATAAATAAATAAAGAAGTTGTATTTTTTTTTTTGTTTGGTTGCAATTACCATTTCCGATTCCCAATTTGTAGTGCTAAAGCGATCTTCTACTTGTTCAGTTTTGCCGTAGCTTTTCCTCAATGGCTTCTTTGCTCTAAATAACTCAGGTACCATATTCAATCTCTATTAAAAAGGGAAATTATTGTCCTTTTTTTTATTTTATTTTGTAAATTTCTGATCGATTATTGTGTAAACTGGAATTTTACAGAGAAATCTCGAGGAAAAAAACAAAAAGGAGCGAACTTTTGATTGCCAAAAAAAAACATTTTTTTATTTAACTTTGGTCGATCATGGCGGTTGCTGAGAATGCACCAAAGTTCGACGATACTGTAGCTGTATCAAAGGAAAATGATGTGGAAAATCCCATCAAACCCAGAAATGATGATTCCTCGGGGGTCTTGAGTCTAAAAGAGACTGATTTTCAGGCGAAGAACGGCGACGACGGCGACGATCAGAAGAATTCTGAAATGGGTCAGATGCAAAATGGGTATGGAGGTGGCGGTGGTGATGGGGACGAGAGCTTCAAGCAGGACATGAGAGATTTGGAGGATTTGCTGTCAAAGCTCAACCCCATGGCCGAGGAATTTGTGCCTCCTTCGCTCGGCAAAATCCATGGCTACCCTAATATTGCTGCTGGATTTGGCTATGCTGGCAATATTTTGTTCCACATTAACAACCCTGCCAATGCTAATGGACTTATGGGTAGAAAGGTAACTTTTTTTTTTTTTATATATAATTTTAGTGTTTGCTATTTTTTGGATGTTATAGTTTCAATCTTTTTGATAATTGTGTTTTTGTTATAGCTGAAGAATGGATATACTCAAGGGAGGAGAAGGAACTATCACAAGTTGAGTCCGGCGCAACGAGAGGCGATGGTCAGGAGGACTGTGTATGTATCAGACATTGATCAACAGGTTAGAGTTGTTATCCTTTGGCTTTTAGCTATCACATTTGTTTTTGGGTTTGTTTCGTTTGCTATTTGGATTGATTTTTTGGATACTTGTTTTGTTTTTGTTTTTGTTTTGCGCATCAGGTCACTGAAGAAAACCTTGCTGCTCTCTTTCTCAATTGCGGACAGGTGACGTGTTTGAATTTTGCTTGTCTGTACTTTTATTTATGGATAATGGTAGATTGTGCTTCTGAATTGTATTTTTCTTCTTTTGTTCTTTCGAAAGGTGGTTGATTGTCGTGTTTGCGGCGATCCAAACTCTATTCTTCGTTTTGCTTTTGTCGAGTTCACGGATGAAGGTAAAATAGTGCACAATTCGCAGGCATTGATGTTTTCCTTTTATCTATTGTGATGCTGAATTGGTTATTGTGTTCTTACTACAGAAGGGGCAAGGGCTGCTTTGAATCTGTCGGGAACGATGCTCGGCTATTACCCTGTGAGAGTTCTGCCTTCCAAAACTGCAATAGCACCCGTTAATCCAACATTTTTGCCGAGGGTGAGCGCTTTATTTTGTGGCGGTTGTTAAATCCTTTGAACGGTTTACATTTTCTTTTTTTTGGTTTCAAAAACTAGATTGTGCTGATTTCACATTTTGGCTTTCTTACTATGACCTTCAGTCGGACGACGAACGCGAGATGTGCTCGAGAACCATTTACTGTACAAATATTGACAAGAAGGTAGAGCTTTAGATGACCATTGGGTTTAATGAAATGTGACCAAAACGGGTTCATTTGGTCCTAATTTCTATGGCATCTGGTATAGGTTACTCAAGCAGAGGTCAAGCTGTTCTTTGAATCACTTTGTGGAGAGGTATGCAGTATTCTCCTTTCCCTTAAAATTATTTGCTGCTTTCTCCTGTGATCAGAACTATACGTATCTCATTGTATAATCTTTCCCCGCATAGGTTCAGCGCCTGAGGCTACTTGGAGACTATCATCATTCTACTCGTATTGCTTTCGTTGAATTCACAATGGTAATTATATATATTCTGATGTCACATAGTTAATGTTGGAGAGATGGGAAACATTCAAGTTTAACTGATGTTATATAGTTTTTGGTGAGCATTGAAAGCAATCCGTTTGAATTAAAGACATTAGTTGCATTTTATTTCTTTGGTTTATTTATGGTTTTCTGCGAAAGTAAATCAGACCATGAATATTGGATTGTAATGCTGCATACAATCCGTCAGTACAAATCATTGCAAACTTTAAAGAGTATAAAAAGCTGTCCTTATACACTTAAAACACAACCTTTTGTATTGTACACCCCATCTAATTTCGTTTAAAAAAAAAAAATTTCCTTCGCTTTATAACCAAAGATAGTAAAAGATAGTATAGACGGTCTACTTCTTTGTACCGTAAGTGTATGAATCTTTTCATTTCGTTGTTAATAATTAGCTTCCGAAGATGTACTTAGCGTATCTATTGTTTAGCTTATTGACCCGATTCCAACCCAAGCGGTATGTTGGATATCTTTAGGATAGCAATGCTTGATCGATCAGTTGGGTTTAGGGACGTTTACTCATTTTGTTCATTTGTGTGCCTATTCCTGCATTTTATCCTTTCTTGAGTAAGGTTTGTTGGCATCACGAAATACCTTTGCCCAGTGGGAGAATCCGAAGATTCCCTCTTTTTCTCCTTCTTTCATAGACAAATGACACGCAGAAAGGTCTCATTTACTTGATGGTTTCATGTCTTGCCATGTTCTTTTTCCTCTCACCTACTTGATGGTTTCACGTCCACTTGCCATGTTATTTTTCCAAGTAATATGTTTATTTATTTATTTATTTTTGTGTGTATTCTGAGAAATAGATTTCTCTCTGTTATCTAGCTCACAGTACTTAAAAAAAAGTGAGGTATTTTCTTGTTTTCTAAAATCTACAGACTGATGAAGCCGTTGGAAAAATGTTCGACACTGATCTTTATGGGTCTATTTCTTCTTATTTTCATTGTTTCTACTAGTGCAATGCTGTTTTTTTTTTCTTTCCCAGAAAATTAGTCGCTACAGACAAGGTTGTTCTATTAAGTTAGACCACTTTTACCATCTTCTTGGATATGATCATTATTATTTTCATTTTTTTCTGATATTTCTGTAAATATCAATATTCTCTTGAGGGGGTAGTCGCATTTATTGTTCTATATCAAAGCATGCTTGAAAAGAATTGGAAGTTTGTCTTGGTCAGTGCTAATGTTGCACCCATCTCTTATCCTGTATTTTCAAATATTGCAGGCTGAAAGTGCGATTGCGGCTCTCAACTGCAGTGGTGTTGTTCTTGGAACTCTGCCAATAAGGTTTGTATGGAGGCTCTTTGTATTTGAGTTTCAACCTCTTTTTTTTTCCCCCTTTCTGTTTCATATCCGGAAATTTATTCATAATGCCTCTCTATGCAGGGTAAGCCCGTCAAAGACGCCTGTTCGGCCTCGTTCCCCTCGCCCTATGTTGCACTGAACCAACCACCCTAGCACGTTTCTTGAACTAATTTACTGCTGATAGATATATTTACGTATACATACATAGATACCGAATGTTTTTAAGGTACTTGTGTTTTGTCTGTGCTTTTGTCCTCTGAAGTTCCGCCTGGTATCGCCATTAACGTTTGGGGGGTAATTTATGGTTTTTATCTGTTTAGCTTTGTAGAGTTGGATGGAATTCTGAGGTGCTGAATCGTTAAATTTATGATGCACTTTTTATGATAGATGAAAATGAATCATTGGAGGATGGTGAGACCAAAGATTAACTGCTGGGATGTTGCTGACAAACCGATAATTCTTACGATTTCAAGCTTTGTTTATTATGTCATGGTTGTCTTTGTGTTTATCTTAATTTTTTGGTCATTATCTAAATGCTTTGCTGTTCTGCTGTTCTCTTTTATTTACTTTACTCCGTTTGTCATCTATCTAGATCATGATGCAAGTTTGAGCTCCTGTTTTTAGCTTAAAATGATTTTTTTTTTGGTGGTTTTTTTTTTTTTTTTTTTTAAAAAAAAAACTTACAATCGTTCGGTTTTCCGATTTAATTTTTCAATTTCAGTTTACTACAGTAAAATTTTTTTACAAAAAATCACATTAATTTTTTTTGTTATAGTAAAAAGTTTTTACAAAAATTACATTTCAAACTTGAATAATTCGATTGGAGAAAAGTTTGATTAAATGTATGCTTTATTAACTTTGATTTTGATGTTGAGAAACAGGTGGTATAGAGAAAGTTACCCTAGATTTTTGAATATTGACCAACTCAGAATTTGAATGTTTCTCCCATATAAACAAACAAGAAGTTTAATATTTCTCATCTTATGCTTTCAATTCAAAGGTGAAGCAAGTTTCTTGACCCTTTTTTCTTTATAGCTTTACGGTTTACCTCCTGGTCAATTCAAAACTTTGTTTTTTTTTTTTGAAGTACTCTGGTCAATTCAAAACTTATACCATGGAAAACAATGAGAGGTTGCCCACATCATTGTTCTGGTGGATTAAGTTTGCAATTTTAAGGGCAAACGTTGCGTTTGCTAGTGAATTTTTTTCCTTCTTTTTTTTTTTTTTTAATTCTTTTTCTTGTTGATTGTAGTGTCTTTTCCTTAAACGTTGTGCGCATTGCATAAAGAAGAGGTTTCTTATTTCAATTCAGTCCAACAAAATGACATCTCTTTTGAAATAAAAAATTACAGGACTACATTAATTAAGAATTTAATTGGATTTGGTTTGGTTAACAATCGTCACCAATCCACTAGAGAAAAGCAGATTTATTTCCTGTCTTGCCTCGTCTTTCTAGATTAGTTAGGGGCTATTATCTGCTTAATAATGAACGCCAGGAGCATTATTATATAATACGTTTGTCTCCACATATAAACAAATAAATAAATAAATAAATAAAGAGGAATATATTATACTAAACAGCCTGAAAAATGCCCACGGAGGAAAATTCCAAAAGAAAGTAGAAATTTGAAAGGAAAAGAATTTGCCCAGCTAATTGCCGTATGCATAAAATTCTGATAGAAGTGTCGCATAGTCATACCAAAAAAAAAAAAAAAAAGGTATTATACATGATCGGTGTTTAATTAACGAATAATGTAAGGTCTTGTGTAATCAGTGAGATAGTCAGTATTGATCATCCGTCTCCCTATAAACTACACAAGTTTTAGAGTTTGACACTTCTTTTGGCTTGTTCTCTCTTCCACTTCTAGTTTTTTTTTTTTTTTTGTAAGGAATTAGTACAAAAATTAAGCCACAGAATTCTGGTCATACCCTGCACGCTCTGATTCAGCAGCTGAGTAATTCGGTCCTGCCATTTAAAAAAAAAAAAAAAAGAAAAAAGAAAAAACAAAGAAGCTTGTCACAGAGAATGCAAATGCTTGATACCCTCGAAGAATACTATACGGTATTGACGGAGCTAAACACCGTCCACTAATAGAAGTGAGTTCTATCTTTTATTAGTGAGTGGCGCTTAGCACCGATGATTCCCGCCTCGTTTTTCAATAATCTCTCTGAAGCGAATTAATGTACCAGTTTGAGTTCTATAATATTGATGAGGCGCATGAACATGACTTGGGCTGCTATCTCCATGCAAGGCAACCATAGGGTAGCAACCAAAATAAACTTCATTAGGAGACCCAAAAACATAGTGACCAGGATACGCATTGTAGTAATTCTGCTCATACAAACAAACAAAAAAAACCCCCACTTTATTACTCAAATATTCCATACATTCACTAAATATATCTGTTATAATAACCTAATAAATTACCCATATGAAAGTTACTGCACAAAATGATACTGACCACTGTAAACATGTCTTGCGGATAATAAGGGTACCTGATTAATTTTTAATCAAGCAAAATTGTTCAGACAATAACACAACAAATTTCTCAAGAGAGAGCACACAAATTAGTACTAGAGCTATTGCTTAATATTAATTAATTACGATTTACCCGTAACCGGCGTTAGGGAAAGCATATTGTGCTGGAATTTGTTGATGGAAATAATCATATGTAGAGACTCCATTGATGGAACTAGAAGCCGGTGCCCTAGTTGTTGATGATTTATCTCTGGACTTCCCAAATCCTACATCTTTAGTTTTTAATACACTTATTTTTCACATTACATTAAATAAAAGCGCAAAATAAACATGATCAAAAACAATATTTTTTACCAAGTCATACACACATAAAAATAGTTATATATATATATATATATATCGACGAGTTTTCAATAATATACTTACCACGTTGAGGAGTGAACGGAGGATTTCTTTGTGCACCGAAGGCAGCAAGATTACAATTAGTCCTCCTTCCATCGATCACAGGGTAAGGATTTTGACAAGCTTCTCTTGCTGAATCTGGATCCTTAAATGTCACCTATTAATATTATACATGTATATGATCAACATATATATATATATATATATAATATATATGATACAAAAATAATAGCAAAAAGTTTTGGTCTAGAAGGGAAATTACGAAGCCATAGCCTTTTGATCTTCCGGTGCGTTTATCAGAAATAACAACAGCTTCAAGAATATCGCCAAACTGCTCAAAATAGCGTTTGATGGAATCTGTTTGAGTGGCCCAAGCCAACCCTCCAACGAAGATCTTTGTGTATGTTGTGTCACCACTTTCTGATGCTGAATATGAACCCATCTGCTTGTTTTCCTTTTCTATTTTAGACATGAACATGTCAATATATATATATATATATGTATGTATATATATGTTATATAAAAACCCACACTAATACGACTGTTTGTCCAAAAGAAACACTGATTAGGATAAACAAGAGATGATCGCCAAAAAGAGAGTGAAGAAGGAAGAGGAAGGAATCGATCAATCAAATCAACTTTTTTATTTTTTATGATTTTTTTTTTCCTCTTTTGATTTTGGGTTCTACCAAACCTACTAGAGTTCAGTAGTAACGCTCGCCTCAGATTCCACAACAAAGATACCCTCTACGAGAAAACTATAATGAGTGAGTGTTAGTGAAATGTCTCTCTGAAAAAATATATAAAAGAAAACAAAAAAGGCCACAGAAACGACAAGAAGGACACAAATAAAGAACAGAAAAATTAAAGGAGGGTATAATGGTATGCATTTATTGTAATAAATTTTCCAGGCGAAAATACTATTGCATATTTAAATTTTTTTTTTTTCCTTTGGAATTAAGAAGGGGAAGCGAAATAACCAAGAAAATTCATATCAAAAAACAAAACCCAAATATTTAGAGGGGAGGGGAAAAAGAACACAAGTAATAATGGGGACAAGACCGTATGATGAAAATAAATAGAGTAATATTGATAAATAATTTTTAAAGGTGTATGGGTTATGATTTTTATATTTTATTTTTAATTTATAATTTTTTAATTAAATAATTATATTAATAAAAAAATATTTATTAAGAATAAAATGTAAAAATTCAGATTCATACACTATTAAAAATAAATTTTTTATTTTTTTTTTCAAATTTAGAATAATAATTTTTCCAATAGAAACTCAAACGACTGGATTTCAGTTTTTACGTTTGCTTTTTCAGACTTTTTAATGGGTCCAAAAGATACGGTGCCTAGCTGTATTCAACTTTCTGTCTTCCTCTTCATCCGTTTCTCATATTTATTCCTTCCTTTATATATATTTTCCTCACAAATCTTTTTTTTTTTTAGTTTAATTTTTCCCACAATATATGTATGTATATGGTTGCATTTTTTGAGGGTATGTATTTTCAATATACCATACTAATACGATAATATTATATCAAAATATGTGTGTTGAAAAATAGTGAAGAGTTAAAGACATTTATGGGTTTCCACATCTTAATAATTTTACGGAATTCGTTAAATAGAAAAACAATCTTAATTATGATATGTCTATATAGACATACATATATAAATGTTGCATTGCTCATGTTTTATTGAGAGGCATGTTATTATGCTTCTGAATAAAGAAATATACAATTAAAACAAGTAAGTAATTTTTAGAAATATTAGCCTAAAAGTAATCTCTTATATATTACCTAGTGTAAAGTTTATAGTTTTCTTCTTCATTTAATCTGATTAAATTATCAATTTCTCTTAAGTTGACAGAAACGCGAGTTTGTTTCTACAAAATTATCTGTAATTATTTGCTATTATTATTTGAAGGGAAAAAAAAAAGAATTAAAGGCTCTTGTTTGGATTCTCATAAAAAACGACAGTGTCGAAAACTAGCGCGTCGTCTAGAGTTTCACAATTCATGGTTCCAAGAAGAATGAAAAGTTAGATGTTTAACGAGAAAAAAATTCAAATAGTTGGATTTTTTTTTCCTTTTTGTATAACAAACATATTCCAACAACATAATATCTCATTTCTAATTGTAGACCGAAATTAAGATGTTTGCCCACGCAAAATGACAACGACATGTTGTTCTAATTAAAAGAAAAAATGAAGTGTCGTTTGGTGTATCGTACGTAAAAACGACATGTTGATATTCAGAAAATAACTACATGCCATTGACATGAAAATAAGTTACAAATCGTTTGGGCTTGCATAAAAATGACATGGAAGAAAATACATGCCATCTTTGCTCCGGGGAAAAAACACGAATGTCGTTTAGATTTCACTAAACGACATATGTACGAAGTCCCACAAATGAGCGAAACGTCAAAAATTGACACCAAATGAATGCTTGTTTGGTTTGAGACAAGCGGTTTAAATTTAAATTTTGTGAGAGAAAATACTATTTAAACTAAAATTAAGATAGTTTAAACCCTCAAACTAAACGTGCACATAGTTTCCTATAATAAAAACCTTCTCATGTTACCTCCCCCGTTGAACAAAGAATATGTCGTTTAGTTTTACATATGAAACATGTTGTTGTTGTTGTTGTTGTTGTTTTTTTGTTGTTTTCCTGTCAAACTAAATGAATCCCAAATAACGTCCTTTTGTTTTCAAAAGTAAAAAGACAATTCGTTTTCCTTGAAATATACGTGTAGAAAATGACGTCTTTTTTTCCCCGCAAAATTGACAATTTGACATGTTCAGTGAACCACACATATGACGCTGTTTTTTTTCCCGGTAAAGTGACAATTTGACACGTTAATTTTAGAGTTTAAACACATGCTAAAAAACGACATGTCGTTTTGTCGTCATCTTAGAAAGTTAGCAGTGCTAGTTTCCATACTGTACGTACGTTCACCAAGTCTAAATGCCAAACGATAATTAAAAATGGAAAAGAGGACAAAGTATGTTAGATCCAAATTACTTACAACCAAATTGTGAAGTACAATTAATACTTATAAAATTTGTGAGGAAAGGTGGCATGACAAGAAAGTTATTATTTTTCAATTTGTCAATATCATTTGACATATTTGTGAAAAAATTGAATCTTAATAAAAAAGATAAACCATTTATTTCTCACGTTAACTGAAATATATATATATATATATATTATATATAGACTTGTCTGAATGATAGCATTGGTGTTAAAACATTTGTGTCCCTTTTGCATGGAAATGGTAGAAAGGGAATCCGTCCATTATTTTATAACTTAATTTCCATTTATTTAACTCTTTTCGTCTAAAAATTTAATGAATATAAATAAGGCATCAAATTGGATTCTCAATCGACCAATTTTTGGTACAATGACCGATTCTAGAGAATAGATTTAAAAGATATTGAACTTATATAAATGCTAGCATCACTTTTCCTCTCATTCTTTTTGTTATTCTTTTCGTTTGACATGTAAATTCCACTAATATGATATATTATTATTAAAATAGAAAATGAGATAGTAAAATTCATGTGTGAGATACTAGCATTTCTCTTGAACTAATGTGATTATAGCTTCACTCACTTCGCGGATTCGAGTTTTTAATTCGAGCTGAGATGTGACATTTTCGGAGAGTTTTTCACTGTAATAGAAAAAGTTAGATGTGACATTTTCTAAAAAGTTTTTACCGTAGAAACTTAGAACTGAAAACTCAAATCGGTGAAATGAACGAGGCCTATATGGATCCTTATCCTGTTCTAAACTGAACTCACTATAAAAGAACAGTTGCGTCCTGCCTACATGGGTCCTTATCCTGTTCTAAACTGAACTCACTATAAAAGAACAGTTGCGTCCTCATGAAAAATCATGTTATCGAGGCCAAAAGGAGCAAAAAGTATTAAAAGTTAAAACAAAAAATGGAAGCCTCAAGCAGCAATTACATGGGATATATTCACTGAATCTAAGAAACGAATGGCCATAAGCAGTGGCCAATTTGGACGGCTCTAGAGATGGGATTATGGTCAAAATAAAGATATATTTGCAAGCATTTTTTTCTATAAAGAGATGGAACCCAAACTACATTATCTTACAACTTCCGTATACCAACAAACAAATATGGCTCTTTGACACTAACAGCAAGGCAAAATATGTATTTTGTACCCTTGTGCTTAATTTTCCTTGGCGAGCCACAAAGCGCTATTATTGCCTCAAAAGGGTTTCAAATATCACAAAAATATCTTCAAAGAGTTATATAATGAAAAAATATATATATTTTTAGTGCAATTTAATTATAGCGGAATTTCTACTTGTCACATTTGTAAGAGATGGATTGGAAACTTCTTAGACATGTGTATCAAGTATAATCTATTAAACAATGGAAAAGAGGAGAAAGAAAGTTGGATTATAAGAAAAAAAACAGCGCCCTTGGCATTAAACCACAGAATCAAAAAATGAAAAATTGATTTTTTTTTATTCTAGTTCAAATTATAAGCAAACAATTGCATGAGTGTTTTTTTTTTTTTTTTTTTTTTTTTTTTTTTGCTGAAAGAAAATGTTTGCATGGAGTTTAATCCTATTGGATGCGTTTACTTAAAACGACTTGAGGTTAGTCAACTATTTCAATAAAACTAATTCAATTAAATTTAATGGCTGTAATTAAAAAGGTGCTTTTGTTGAAGTAGGAGATCTTTGTCGTGTGATTTCACCCCCTCCATTTTCCTTTCCTTGATGACGACATTCACTTAGTGGAGGTCCCACCCAGTATACCTACGAGCACTAAAGCAGATGGAAGAGCTAATATGTTTCTTTTGTCAATAGACTTAAAAAAAATATTATAATAAAAAAAAAGAAAAGACTTGGAAAATCAGTAATGAAATCTTCTAAGCAAACCAACATTAATATATTAAATCTAGGAATTGAGCATACAAACGTAATTGAATTTCCTTCATCTTATTTAAAATTTAACGTTAGATATTTCTCAAGAGTGTATAGGGCGCCATGGGAAAATGGAGAGAATTAGAGAGTATTTACAAAACTATAATCCGAACATAGTTTTAAATAATTGCCTAAACTAGTTTTAATTAAACGATTTATAATATTGATGACCCCCCTTAGGTTTATAATAGAGAAATAGTAAAAAATATGTCAATATGAAAAGCTTAAGAAAGTATATAGGCCAATTTTTAGTTATAGAAATTAATAGGCCATAACTTGTCAAGTTATGGTTCATAACCAGATAAGTTATGGATAAACTTGTCAAGCTATAGTTCATAGCCAGACAAGTTATGGACAATTATGGACAATAACTTATTAAGTTATGGTTCATAACCAAACTAGTTATTGACGAAAATAGGAATTTAACATATTTATTAATTTATGTAAATTATTGGCCTATCAATTTTAATTTATCTTAAGTTTTGACATATTTCTCTCTTTCTCCCTTTATTTCCCTCTTTCTCCCTTTATAATATTGGTTTATAGCTGGGACCCCAAAACAAAATATTAGTTAGACCCCCTTAGGTATGCTTTTTTGACATCACCAAACCCATTAGAGTTATGTAACACCTAGCCGCCATTATTATTTGTTTTTTCTTTTAGAAAAGAAGATATTTCATAATTTCATATACACTCAGCATAAAAGCTTTTGGAAACTAGAAATCAGACATTCTCTCCAAGACAAATTTGTTAATGATCATAATTTTGTAGTCAAAAGATGTGCCTATCCTACCATGTTAGAGTTATATACCACTTGTAAAGTCATCCCAAGTCTATAAACTATATTATAGGCAGTAAAGTCATATATATATATCGCCACTCTCCACTAACCGACCATCCTCTGCATGCGTGTTTGACATATTTTTTTTGTTTTTCTTTTGACATAATTTTATGAAAACCCAATTCCCTCTTTTTTGGCCTTCCAATACTGGAAAACCCTTTTTCAACAAAGTTCATATATAGTTCTTCTCACAACTCTTTTACCCTTGCTTAACTTACAAGAAATGGGAAACGCTTCATGTGCTCTTTGCAAAACAAGTTTGGTTTCTTCTTGTATCATAATATCAACTTCTTCTCATGCCAAGAGAAGGGGAAAAGTGGTGAAAGTTGTGAAGACTGATGGGCAGGCCATGACATTCACGTCGCCAATTCTTGTGAAAGATGTGATGGAGAGGTTATCCGGCAGGGGCGACGGTGGAGGCTCCGGTATCGGGTTATCGAAAGAAGCTAATTCGGAGCATCTTCCGAGTGATTGCGAGCTAAAGATAGGGAAAGTTTATTATGTGCTTCAGTCTAAGGACGAGGACTACTCATCAAGTGGAGGAGAAGGTGAAGGTGATGGTATTAAGAGGATTAAGATTGTGATCACAAAGCAACAACTCAAAGAGCTTTTAGCGAAGAAAATATCGGTTGATGATGTGCTTTCTGGGATGGAGAAGAAGACATCTTTGTGCAATACTACGGCTTCTGTTGATCACCATCATCATTCCGAGGAGAATTGGAAACCGAAACTCGAATCGATCCCGGAAGGTGTTGAATAATTCATGATGTTTTATAGGAATTAGCCTCCTCTGTAAGTAAAGAAAAATATGCATGGTTGAAGAACAAAAGCAGACAAGAGTCCACAGATGCATGGTTTTGTATGATGTACTTGCCATCAACAGAAAAATAAAATATAGTTCATAGCATTTAATCTTGTATGGTTAATTTCTCTTCTGTCATGAAATTTTTAAAATTATTTAATCAATCATCCATCTTATATAAAAGTTTATATGTTCAAGGGCCGTGACGTTCTCTATCATAATCTTCAGTTGCTATCGGATGAGATATTGCTTTTTGAGGTTTTGGCAGCATAACATTAACACGTAAACTAAAAACCTTTTTTAAAGTATAAATTTAATCTAAAAAAAAAAAGAAAAAAGAACAGAAGTAGACAGATTTAGCTTCCGGAATAGCTTTTCATCTCATATGCATTTCGCAACAGAAAACCAGTCCTTTTGCCATTCACACACACTTTTTTTTGCATATATATAAACAGGGTAAAAACAGGGGAATGATAAACAGAAGATAATTATTACTAGCATAAACACCAGAAAGAGGTCGAGAAATTCAGAAGCTTTCACTGAACAGGAACATCAACGACCTTGTGTTCCACTTTGGTCTTGGGAATGGAGATGTAGAGAACTCCATTCTTGAGCTCGGCCTTGATCTTGTCCTTCTCGCAGTTGTCGGGAAGCCGGAGACGGGTGTCATAGGAGCATAAGCATAGTTCTTCTTGTTTGCCTTCTTGTTGTTGTTCTTCTTCTTGCTTGTGCTTACCTTTTATGACGAGCACGTCGTCCTCCACGGAGACCTTGACGTCCTCCTTGTCGAGCCCCGGCATGTCAAATCGCAACTTGATTTCGTGCTCGTCGTCTTTGATGTCCCACGGAGCTCGGACGTGATCGGCCGGTGAGCGTTTGAGGGCAGGGAATGCCAAGGAGTCCTCCAAGAGACGGTCCACTGTGTCTAGCATTTGGCGCACGGTTCTCATTGGGGACATTGGGTCCAATAGTCCTGAAAATTTGATGTCCAAAATTTGTTACACATTGTATTCAAATTATTTGAAATTTACACGCTAGAAGAGTGCCATATGACACAGAGTTTAAAATCTAACGAAAACTAAGGCCTCGTTCATTTCACCGATTCGAGTTTTCAGTTTTAGATTTATACAATTAAAAACTCTCAGAAAATGTCACATTTAACTTTTTTTACTACAGTTAAAAGTTCTCAGAAAATGTCACGTCTCAACTCGAATTGAAAACTCGAATCCGCAAAGCGAATGAGTGGACGTTTAGTTCATAGATTCAGAATCATGATTCAGAATTATTCTCAATTTATGTGTATTTTTTTTTAGAGAAAATACTGTAACAAACTACGAACTATGATTCGAATTATGACACAAATCTACTAACCAAACGCATCCTAAATGAGACGTTTTGGTAGTTCAAGGAATGGAATTTACAAATGCAAGTTTGAGGATAACTTTAAATTGAACACATTTATATTTATAAAATTTTTTTTTTTTTTAAAAATCTTTTAATTTTTGCCAAAACTTTTGTTAGAATAAAAATAAATTTTTATTTTTTCACATACGACTATGGGTTTAAAATACTATTTCTAATATTTTGTATATTGACATAGTTGTTGGCCTTATGGCTTAAATTAAACCTGTTGGCTGAATCAAATTAAATTCTCATATTTTTTAAATTTTAATTTTTTTATTATTCATATTTTATTTTAAATTTTAATTTAGTGCGATGAATCCGTTTAATTTAAGGTTTGTCACAACAATAATTACCATTTAAAATTTGTTAGTCAATTGATCTTAACACATCGGTTATTGAACTGCATCATGACAAGGTTAGCTTTGTTCCTCCTGCTCTTCGCTTTTGGCTTTTCAGTACTTGAGGAGCTGTGTTCTTTCTTTTTCTTTTTTCTTTTTTCTTTTCCTTTTTCCCTCTTTCTTTGAATCTTTTTTTTTAAGTACGTAATTTTATCAAACAACGTTATACGTCAAATTCATCCAACATTATCACTTGATAACATGTAAATTAGTCAAAAAGAACTCGTACTTGCTAATAACAAGTATATTTTTACTTCGTTTAATTCGTTGATTCAGATATTTAATTCGAATTGAGATATAATTTTATATAAAATTTTTTTATTGTAATAAAAAAATTAAATATAATTATTTCTGAGAGTTTTTTCTGTAACAAAATTTAAATTCTAAACTTATATCGATAAAATAAACGTGCCTTCATTTGTAATAAATCACGTGTAGATACACTTACCAAAAGGTAAAATATCAACGGCTAATCTTCTAGGCCTCTTTTCCACTGCATTACATGCTTGGTTACTGCCCTGACTGACTTGCACGTCCACCGACGAGTCCTTGCCGCCATCGCCGCCCTGAGCTCTCACCACCGGCAGCTGATACCGCCTTTTCGGAAAAGTGGCCAAGCAAGGGGCGAGACTACTATTGTTTACTTTGTGCGAGACGCCACCGGCTTTGTTTACTAGCAAAGGTGAACAAGTTTGTGAGCACATCAATGTTGAAGCCATAGTTAATTAATTAATTACTCGCAACACAAACAGAAAGTGATACACAATTTAGAAAAAAAGTGTGCTAATTAGAGTGAAATTAAGTGGGTCTAGAGAAGTAAGCTTTCTTGGATCTTAATTTAATTGCTTTGACAATGAGATGATTTATAGGCATGTTGGGTTTTGGACTATTTTTGAGTTAAAAAGTTTTGGAAGGTTGGAGATGGGTCATGAACGTTTGAGAGTTTGTGAAACTTCTGGACCGAACACTTGTGCGGTTACAACTAATTTTTCTCTATAATTACTACAACTTTCTCTATAATTACTACAACTTTCTCATTCTTTCCGGAGAAGTCCATTTTTTGATATTTTTGATGTACATCTTATCCATCACAAATAGTAGTATTTTGTTCTCATTTGAATCCTTGTAAACCAAAACTGGGGGTGAATTCTTTTGTTGTTCACCGTTGATGTTTGGGACCCATGTGACATGTCAACAATGGAAAACTACTTGTCTACTAAGATTTTAGTCGTTTTCTTCAAATCTCTTCCCGTTTGGTTGGAGGATTCATTCTCTGATTCGAATCATAGTTCATGGTTCGTTACAGTATTTTCTCTCACAAAAAACACACGTAAATCGAAAATAATTCTAATCTCATGATTCTAATTCATGAACCAAATGAACTTGGATTTTGTTTTTGTTTTTGTTTTTACTTGTATAAAAATTGAGAGCGGTGTATTCATATAATTCCGATTGGATTAAATATCTCTTTATTAAATAAATCATAGAATCCTGCTTAAGATCTTCTCTTACAAAGTAAACAATCTTATTGTCCTAGCTAATGAGCGTTGATAATCCAAAAATTATATTAATCCGAAACTCTTTCATGCAAAACTACGGCTGTATTTGGAATTGATCCCGTTTTTATTTTTTACATTTTTCGAGAAAGAAAAATGAAAACGTTTTTAAAACGGCGTTTGGCGCAGTAAAGACAAAAAAACGGAAATGAAAACGATTTTTTTAGTTTAGTGTAAAATGAGAGAGAAATGAAAAATGACTTTTAGTCGTCGAGCAAAGAGAGAGATATATATATTAATGAGTTTTTTACACTTAAAACAATCTCTAGATAAAACTATTAAACACATTTTTAAAAATGATTTATGTCTGAGATTAAAAACGTTTTCATTTTCATACAAAAATGAAAATCATTTTAGAGTGAGTTCCAAACGCGCCCTACAATATGGAACTTTGGGAAAGAAAAATCAACATAATTTGACTGCTTTGTATATTTATACCATAGTAAAATACTAGCGCGACTCTTTATTTGTTACTCTCTTTGTCACTTTCCGCGTTCACTGTTTGACATGTGAATTCTATTATCTCATTTTATGTTTATACAATAACATATCATATTAGTTGAATTCACGTGTCAAACAACAATAAATATAGAGAGTGACGGAAAGAATAATATTAATATTTCTCTTCTACTACAATAACTAGACAAAGTTAATGAAGTTCTATGGCATGATGGCAGCTTATGTCCCCGGCTGTTACTCTCTTTATCACTCTTTAAGTTTACTATTTGACATGTGAACTCTACTACCTTATTTTCTATTTATATAATAACATACTATATTAATTGAGTCTACGTGTTAAATAATAAATATAGAGACTGACAAAAAAAGTAACGCTAGTATTTTTTTACTGCTACAATAACCAGACAAAGTTAATGCAGGTCCATGGCATGATGGCAGCTTCTGTCCCTGGTTTCTAGGCCAAAACTTTTAAGAGTAGAAAGATATGGCTGAAACACAATCCCACGTTTTAATTCACTAAGCCCAAGAATTCGGACAAACATCTCTTTGTATGTTACTCTTATCAAATTCAATCCTCAATAATGGGCCGAGGACCACATCGTTTGTTTTTCTAGATTAGTATCGAACCAACAACAGTTTCTGACTTCCCCAGTCTCACAGGGACAGGGTAAGCAAACCATAGATAGCACTATTTATTTGGCTTTGGCTGGGCACGATTTCCCATCCCAAAGACATTCCAATCCTTTTCAACACGTTAGCAACGTAATTGCAGTATCCTAGATGCTGTTCTTCGGAGCAGTTGAGGATTACTTTACACAAACATAATTGAAAAACAAAAAAATATATATGTTTGTAAGTTGGCAATTGATAAGACGAATAAACAACAAAGTTTGTGATATAAAAACTTTCCCGCGTTTCATCAAGGGGTGGAGGTGGACATTTAAGGCAAGCAACAAATTTGATGTTGTCGTTTAAAGCTTGTTAAAGTAAGCGAAAATAGAAAAGAAAAAAGAAAAAGGTCACAAAAAGAAAAGTGGGAGAATCTTATAAAGTGTTGACTGGTCTATGACAGTAACTTTCAACAATAAATACGGTGGCATATATAGTAAAACCAAAAAGAAAAAGAAAAAAAGAAAAGAAGGAATGTGTATCTCAAAATAACATAATTGTAAAGAAAACTATTTAAAGAAGGCATGTTGTTATTGATGGTGTATAATCACGTATGATATGGTATAATAGAGCTATAATATGACTAAAATCACATATGTTATATGTTAAGAGTATAATCAATAAATCACATATGTTATTGTACAATAAAGCTACCGTGTGTGTATGTATATTATATATATATCTCAAAATCTCCTTATTCTGATTGATAATGGGAAATATTTTTCTACATATAATATATTGTCTCATCTTACTAAAATACCACTCAAAACTTTTGTTCTTCCTTCCATGCATTAGAGTGATAACAGTAAAAACACTCTCTCTTCCACAAAGAAGCCATGGCATATTCCCAAACCCGTGAAAGTGTTTGCAAGAGTTTCTCAGCACAAAGACATATAAAGCAAAAAAAAGGTAAAAGTGAAGTACCATCTCCCTCACGTTATAGAGATATAGACTCCTTTGTATATGCTTTCATCATTCTCAAGGGAACTCTTTCATGTTGTCTCCAACTCTGACCTGACACACACACACACACACACACACACACACACACACACACACACACACAACATTAAATTTACCCCCATGCCACTACAAAACAACATTTTTTTTTTCTAGAACATCATAATTCATATCATATAATATCATATATATATATATATATATATCACAGAGTGAGGATGTGGCGCAGCAGTCTAATTGGATGCCAAGATGGTAATGCTATGAAACGTTCATCTCTTCCCAAATGCATGGACTAACACTGTCCACTTGCAGACATTGCATTATTATTGCTTTTTTTTTTTCTCCTTTTTTTCCCCTTTCCCTCATTAATATCTCTTCCTCTACCTTCATTCAAAGCCCACCCAACTACTCAAACAGACAACAAAATCAAGAATAAGCTCCCACAAAAACAAATTCTCCCAGTATTCCTGCTTTTGAAATCATGGTGTTACAATATGTGTAGTTTTGAGTGTACTTTGTCTTTTAAAAGCATACAATTTTTTTATGGGGAAGATTGGAGGAAGCTCCTGGTTGACAGTGGTCAAAAGGGCTTTCAGGTCTCCTACTAAGGAAGCAGCAGCTCGTGAGAAAAGAAGCAGCAGAAGAAGAGAAGAGCATGAACAAGACCACGAAGAAGAAAAGGTTACATTTTTTTGTGTACATCTCAAATCTTATATGTTACTATTTACTAATGTCCTAAGAGAAGTATGTAAATAAATCTTTTTTGTTTTTTGTGTTTTGTTTGTTTGTTTGTTTTTTTTTTTTTTTTTTTTTTTTTTTGTGTGGGCAGAAGAGAGGAAAGCGCAGATGGATCTTCAGGAAGCATTTGAATCAGCAGCAAACGGTCATACAACACACTGCTAGTGTCACAGCAACAACAACTGCTGTGACCAAGCAGACCAATATTAATCCTCATGTACATTCTATTGACCATCACGCTTATGATGATGATCAACGGCAGGCTGCAGAGAGATCACATGCGCTTGCGGTGGCCATGGCCACAACAGCTGCCGCTAAAGCCGCAGTGGCAACGGCCCAAGCAGCCGTAGAAGTTATTCGCCTAACAAGGCCTTCATACAATATCAAAGAACACTTCTCTGCCATTGCCATTCAAACAGCCTTCAGAGGATATCTGGTAAAAAATGAAAAAAAAAAAATGTATATGACTATATGTCAATGAAAGTACAAGTACTTATTTGGTGTGACGAGAGTAAAGTCATTTTGAGACTATTTTTGGTTTTTTATTTTTATTTTGAAAGGCAAGAAGAGCTCTTAGAGCACTAAAAGGGCTGGTTAAGCTACAAGCGTTAGTGAGAGGCCACAACGTTAGAAAGCGGGCAGAGATGACTCTTCAGTGCATGCAGGCTATGCTTAGAGTCCAAGCTAGAGTGCTTGACCAGAGAATTGCCAAGAGACTTTCTTATGAAGGAACTAGTGTTGATTCTCTGTCTAGATCACCAAATGATCGTGTTGGTATCAGGAAATCACTTGTAAGATACCAATTTATCTCCCACATCAATTGTGTTATAGTCTTTTTGATCTGTCCACTATATAATTATATATGTACAAGTATTCTTATAGAGTATTTGGTGAGACTATTGCAGGCTAGAGAAGAAAGTAGCTTTAATTCAGAAGAATGGGACGATATTGAAGCCTTGTTGGCGAAAACAAGAGAAGCTGCCTTGAAACGTGAAAGTGCTCTTTCTCATGCCTTCTCTCACCAGGTATTACTGATCTAAGCTGCAACATTTTAACTGAACCCTTTTCCTCAATATTTTTAAGGGTCTGTTTAGCTTTGTCCTCGTTTCAGTTTGTCATTTTGAAAACATAAAAACAGACCAACATAAGAAAAAACATGTTAATTTGGCGGTCTCTTTTTAAAACTGTGCTTTGAGACAAGCCTTACATCAAAAATGATTCCCCCGAGCAAAATATTTATCTTCTGTTTCGAGATAGCAAACAGCACAGACATGTTTTCAAAAGAAAAAAAAAAATAGAAAATGTGCCCCCTCAATTTACCTTTTAGTGGTTATGTCATTTTTAAAAATGAACATATTTTTTATAGTCATCAAAGAGGCATTTCTCTATATTTTCATTTCCAAAATGCAGTTTCAATCACTGATCAATTTTCTTAGTTCTGAAACTAATAGTTCGAAAACAGAAAAATGAGATCAGCAATCAAATGGGAGCTAAATATATTTTGATTTGTACTATTATATGCATTGTTGTATTGAAAGATGTGGAGAACAGACTGCGAGCAAGCTGAAAGCGAACCAGATCCAGAAGGGTGGATAAGGAGATCCAAGCAATTTAGTTGGGAGAGCAAAGGAAGAACTTCATGTGATCAGATCATAGAACCGATAAAAACAGTTGAAATTGACACATATGGACCATGCTCTTACTCAACTCCGATTTCCCAAAACAGATCACAATATTATCATCACTCCTCTTATCAACAACAACAAAGTCCTCATTTATATTCTCTCACTTCTCTTGCCCACAAATCCCATGACAGCAACTTTTCACTCCAATCACCATTCACACAGTCCCCTGCTAGACCAAGAAACGCCCACAACAACATTCATCAATCGGTCATCAGCCCTCGTTTCACTAACGCTAGAGCAGACATTAGAAACAACAACAACAACAACAACAACAACAATCCAATGACGCCAAACTACATGGCGTCGACTGCGTCAGTCAAGGCTCGATTGAGGTCGCAAAGTGCGCCGAGGCAAAGGCCTGATTTGGCCAACCTCGAAATGGAACAGAGAACTGGGTCTGTGAGGAGACGCTTGTCGTTCCCGGTTGTACTACCAGAGTCAAATGAGAGCCCGTGTTATGCTAAGAGAGTGAGCCGGAGCCATCCGATGGCGGTGCAGCGAAGGGCAAGCGTCTCTTATTCTCGCTGTTCGGACAGCGAGACTTCTCCACTGAGAAACAATGAGCTCAGGAGGTGGCTGAGGTGAAGTTTTATAGAAGAGGGCTGGTCATTGAGTGAGAGTGAGAGTGCGTATCCATGCTGTTATGTCCTATGTATTCAGTTGATTAACAAACATTGTTCATGTAATTATGGGACATGCTCTTATTCTGTATCCATTTATGTTCCATCTTTTGTTGTCTCATTAGAAAAAGCTCTTAACATTAATCTAGAAATTCGCAAGTGCTCTTTTCTTTGTGCATTTCAAAATTTGCAGGAAGTAGTAAGATTGAGAATTTGAGATTTGAGAGAAACAAATAAAGATGACAAAAGTACATGTGCACAGAGTCCTCACCCTTTCTCCATTAATTGTGATCTTGACATTTTCCTATCTTTTTTTTGGGTTGGTAATCAAGCAATTCATTACAGAGAATCTGCTAGGCACCAGAGAACAGACGAAGGACTAAAAACAAAAACCAGGCATACCAGAAACCAAGGAAAACATAAGCAGAATTTGACACCAACCATTGGGAAAAACTGGAGAACAGATCAGAAGAAATCTCCTAGTAATTGGGAAGAGCTTGTGAGACTAAACACAACTGTGGAGAGGTAGAGCTTATCAAGAATATTTTTAACTAACCTCGTTCATTTCACTGAATCGAGTTCTCAGTTTTCAGTTTTTACAGTTAAAAATTCTCAGAAAATGTCACATTTAACTTTTTCTAATACAGTTAAAAGCTCTCAGAAAATGTCACATCTCAGCTCGAATTGAAAACTCAAAATCCACGAGGTCTAAGTAGCCACGCTATATTTACAATCAGCAATGCTATTAAGCTCTATTAATACGAGTCACCATAACTAATAGAAGTGAACTCTATATGTGGCTCCTCTTTCGTGCAAGAACCACGTCTACAAGACGTCGTGCCCAACACCATTTGGAGTTTATTTGCATTTTTAACTTACCTCGTTCTGTATCTAATTTAAGTCCTATCATTCAATCCCTTAAAACACACGGAAGTGAGATCTTATTTCTGCATCATTATCCAAAAAAGCCCTTAAATATTCTTCTTCAAAAAAGTGAGGATCTAAGCAAGCGTAGCCAGGGTCTCAAGATGTTCACCATATCTCGAACATTCAAGCGGACACGCCCTTTTCAGTGCCCACCAGCTTTTTCAAAAAAGTCAAATATGTTTTTTTGCTCTAGCTGTGGCTAAAATACCAAACGCAATGGAAAGCCCAACAAAATTTTGCTTCAAGTACCCATTGATTTTCATAGGAGTGTAGCCTCGGGCCACTTTTCCTTTTAGCCAAACCAAGCACAGGACAAACACAACCCTGAAAAGCTTCAAAATTCTGACTTTTATCTATCATTGGACTTAATTATCAGTCAAAACAAGCTTTAGCTTCTAAAAGTCCATTTCATATCGTAATATATATTCTGCACATCAGTTGACAGCTGATATACTACTGAAGTCGGACAGATTAAACATGAGAATTAAATTTTTAATTTGAATTATATGTTTAAATATAATTTTTATGAGAATTTTTAATTATAATAAAATTAAAATTGAAAACTTAAGCAGTTTCTTTTTCCTCCGACAAAAAGAAGCCAAGTACAGTCCATATAGTGATAAAAAAACATGAATAATATACAAGCAAGCTTGGCAACAGACAAAAAAAAAAAAAAAAAAAAACACACACACAGAATTTAGAATCCTCTTTTGCTGAAAGTCTTCAACACAAAAAACATTTTAAAGATCCCAAAACCAAACAAACTAAACTAACTACTTAAGCTAATCAAACAAAGCAAACAAAATGAAGACCAAATTTGAGCTTTAAGCACCACAAGACACGCTTGTGTTTTGTGTCCTTTTGGCCAAACTAGAGCAGAGAAATCTCAGGTTTCGCATTGGAACTTCCAAGAGCTAGGCTGCTACTGCTACATCCACTGCTATCAGACAAAGAAGCGGCATTAAGCGTTTTCTGAAGAACCCCAGATGGGGATGACGCAACAGTCGCCGGAGGGCTGCCGGAGTCTCCATTTCCGGTGAACGGAGAAGGCGGATCGGAGGCTGTGCTTGGCCTTAAAACCTCACCCAATGGCCCTCCAAGCGGCGAACCAACCCAAGAAGAAGTAAGAGGAGGACTGAGCCAAGAGCAGCTAGGGGATTTATCGTTATTATTATTGCCCATTGAGAGAGTGAGCGAAGAAGAAGAAGAAGGCGAGAGCTTCTTCACCTGATGATTGCTTTCCTGCGTTTGGGACGACCACGCGTCAATGAAGCTCCTTGGTGGGTCCGAAACGACGTTATCCGGGTTGAGAAACAAGGCGCAATCTCTGTCGTTTTCGTGTTCTTCTCCGGTGGTGAAGTTTGCGTAGGAGTTAAGGTTCAGAAACGGTTCTTCCATAGATGACGGCTTTGAGGTCATTTCCAGTTTGGTGTGATTCATTAGGTGAAGCCAAGTTGGGTCGGAAGAAGTAGCCATGGGAACATGTTCTCCTCCTTTCATCATCCACTCTAAGCTCCTTCAATAATTAAAAGACAAAAAAAAAAAAAAAAAGAGTCGATGATAGAGAGAGAAAAAAATTATTGAATAACACTGTTCTGCATATTTTATAAACCCCACCTTGAACAAGAATAGTAAAGAAAGCAAAAACAGAACACAACTAAGAGAGAGGAAAAATCTATTGACATCAATTTCAGAAACCACTAAAAATAAAACTTTTTTTTTGTCTTCTGATACAAACCTGGGCTCCTTATCTGAGGAAAGATGAGAAGGCAGGGATTCAAAAACAGGGGAAGGATGGTATGGAAGAAGAGCGGATCCTCCAAGGAAGTTAGAGCTTGACAAAGTTGTTGCAGAACCATTATTACTATTTTGATGATTATGATGATGATGATCAAGACGAGTCCTTTTGTTTGAGGTTGCGTTGTTGTTGTTGCTGTTATTGACATGAAGTTCCACATGCTTTCTTGAACGGGGACGGCCTCTGTGCATGTGACGCTCGCAGTACTTCTGATCAGGCGCCACATCTCTCGAGCACCTCCATTTCTTGCCGTCCGTTCTCTTGCACCTCCCCGGCTCTGGATCTGCCCCGTTTGAAAACCTCAGCTTCAACTCTCCCCCATTAACCACTGCATCCAAATATTCAAACAAAAAAAAAAAACATCTTATTTATTAGCTGAGAAACAATAATACAGTAAATATAAAGCAGATCATGAAAAAGAGAGAGGAAACTTTACGGGGTGAAGAAGAGGGGCAGAGATTTCTGTTGGTGATGGGAAGGAGAAGATCAAGAGGAACGGGAACAGAAGCCACCATGTACTTGTAAATCATGGCTTGTCTTTCAAGCTCTTTCCACTGTGCATTTGTGAAAGGAAATCCTATGCTTTCTCCTGCTCAAATTTAAAAAAAAAAAAAAAAAAAAGTCACCCAACATGTCGCAGAAGAAAAAGATCAAATCTTTGAGGAAAAAGAGGAAAAAAAAAGGGAGAAGACAGACAGACCAGAGGATTTATTAAAGGCGGTACTGTAAATAGAAGTAGAAGTAGAAGCACGAGTATGAAAAGGCTGCTGCAGTGGAGCTGAACAACCGCCACTAACAAAAACATGATCAATACGAGAACCAACAATATCGTATATATCATTGGTCCTAGGAGGAAGACGAGGTGTCGTTGTAGTTGTAGGCCCATCTGCTTCTCCTCTTTGGGATGATGGAAATTGACGGTGCTGATTATCATGAACACGATCATCATCATGAACCCTCATCATCATCATCGTCGACTTGCTTATGCTTTGTGGTCGTTTGAGTTGTTGAGCTTATTAGGCAATGATTCTCAACTCTACTCTCCGCGGCACAAGAACGTGACTATCTAGTACTTGTTTGTATATATTTTTTCTTTTTCTTTTGGTTTTTCTTTTCTGAAACGCCAAAGACAAGTAATACTATTATATAATACAACTCACTCTAGTAACAAAACCAAATAATACTTATAAACTACTTTCCTTATTTGGAAATACCGTCTTCTCTTTCTCTACCCACAAGCTCTTTTTGATTCTTGCAAAAAAAATCTTCTTTTTTTCTTTTTTTCTTTCTTTTTTTTTTGTTTGAAATAAATAGACCACGTTAGGTAAGAGGAGTAAGACCTATATAATATCTCCTCTCTCTATATCTATAGACATAGCTATATATGATATATTGAGTTTGTAGAGAGAGAAAGTCTTATCTTTTTGGAAGAGAGTTGGTGGGGAAAGAGGAAGGATGAGATGCGGGTTTGATATGGGGGATTTTTAAGAGAGAGGAATGGGTTGCCGCCATCCTCGGCCTTTGCTTTGCTTCCATGCTTCCAACATTCGCACGCCATACTAGAAGACAACCTACTAAAAGCAACCATTCTCTCTCCTCTCTCTCTCTCTCTCCTCTCTCTCTCATAATTATTGTGGCGGGATCTGTCGTTTTCTGCATGTAAAGCTAAGACACCCTACTAAAATCCCTATTAAAAAGATCTTGTAAATAAACAAATCTAATAAAATATGAAGAAAAAAAATACTAATACGAACAAATCGTGCGTTTTCAACATAATCGTATCGTAAAGATTTTTTTGGGTGCGTTTAAAATTAATTTTAAAACATTAAAAATAAGATTATTTTGAGTAATTTTAAAATTACGTTTTGTTAAATTTTTAAAATATTATTTTTAGTATAATAAAAAAATAAAATTATATTTATTAATTAATATATTATAACATTATTAATAAGTATTAAAACATAAAAATAAAAAAGTGAATAATTTTTGACCGTTTTTTAATTATTTGACAAAAATTATTTTAACTATTTTCGTTTTCATAATATTTGTTAAATAAATGTCGTTTCGTTTTTAATTTTTGCTTCTCAAAATACGTAAAAATCGTTTTTAAAAACGATTCTAAACATGCACTTTAAGTAGTTATTAATATGATTTATGATTTTTAAAGTCGCTAAAATTAGATGTGATAATTTGTGTTGTCATGCTATGCCTTTCTGTTGACACTATAACTATTACCGTGAACACGACCCATTTAATAATCGTGTCAGAATAAGAAATCTAAACACGTTATTTTATTACAAAGTTAACACAAACACGGCAAGATCAACTCTTTTATTAAATAGGTCAATAACGTGTCATGTCAACTTGCAAACATGTTTACTACTTGTATATATTCAATTCTTAATGATAAAAAATATTAAAAAATTAAAAAATTAACAATATAGCAAAATAGTAAACTAAAAGAAAATTTTCATAAAAATGTGAGGAAACCCTAAGACATTCCTTATATATCACCTATTTTTTTCTAAAAATATATATTTATACATACCTAAATAAAACATGTATTAAATAAGTTAAAAATGTGTTGTGTTCGTGTCAACCTATTTATGACACGTTTATTAAACGGGTTATTTTAGGTTAATTTTGTGTTGGAGAGTTCATGTCGTGTTGACCTTTGATTTAATCGTGTCTAATGGGTTCAACCCTTTTTTTATTTAAATCTATTTAAAGACAACACAAACCCTTTAATTTCGTGCAGATTTCAACTCATATTATCATGTTGTAACCTAAATTGTCAATCCTAATTAAAACTACACGATATTTTTTTTTGCCGTATCTCATCAAGACATTTATCAAGTTCTTATTGGTGTTATTTGCAAAATGAAGAAATGAGACAATTATTTGTGGGCACCCCCACCTGTCCAACAGACACTTCCTTTTTTCTTTTTTTTTTTAATTGCCGTTATGGGAGACATAAATGAGAGAAATGATAGAGATAAGAACTCCTCAAGACAAGTGGGCGACATTTTGAAATTTTGCTGTGCGTGTCACGTGAACTTAATTCAACTCCTTTCCTCAAATCCTAATGCTTTCGATAGATGTATGTATCTTCACCCTCAAGTAATGTCATGTTGTGTCTTCTAGATTTATGTTACGTATGTACTTGTGTTAAAAGTTATACATAAACACGATATACTCTAAATTTATTCTACAATATTCTCTAGAAATGGTAGAAGCTTAAAGATCACACATTTTTCTTTTGAAAAAAAAAAAAAAACTTGCCTTTCACTTTCACCACATAACTCGTCAATAATACTAGTTTTTTGCTCTTAGTTACTACCTCAACTATGATATTATAATTAGTAAGGACTTTGTTTTGAGGAAAGAAAGAGATGAGCTTTATAGTATTTACGCCACTAAAATATGACTCTCTATTTGGGGCCGTTCGGTTTGTTAATTCGAATTGAGATGTGATGTTATGTGATAATTTTTTACTGTAGTAAAAAAATTAAATGTTATTGTTTCTAAGAGCTTTTACTGTAACAAAATTTGAATTTTAAACTCGAATCAGCGAAATGAACGGGGCCAAAAAATATGTGTTTACCATGTGCTTTATATTGAGCTTTCTTCACTAAAATATTTTGCACATAATTAACTTTCATTTTTTTTTTTCAAAAAAAAATTATTTTACTGATCGATGCAAGGAAATTTTATCAAGCAAGTTTGATTTTTTATTAGGGAGAAAAGGAAAATACCAAACCAAAGTTTTTTGCTTGGAAAAAGACAAGCAAGCAAGTTGGATAATGGGATGTGCATCCATATCTTCTAGCGTCACGTACGGAAAACGCCGTTAAGACGGCGTCATTGTTGTCGTTTTATAGGCACCATCAAGGTCGCCCTCGGTAATCGCAATGGGCCCAAGTGGGCCGTCTTGCATCAACCAAAATGTTTCTATGGATGTCCCAACGCGCTCTTCACGCGCGTTGTTCTTCTACTTTGCTGTCTGGAGTCTGGACACACCACGGATGATCCCCGTGCCCACGTGTCTTAATTCTTGAATTTCATTGGCTGATTTCCGCTGTCCGACCACAGAGCACTATCACTCAATTCGCATTATTTTTGCTTATATTTTTGGTTTAAAAAGCATTAAGAACATTTTTCTTTCTCAGTATTTAAAATTAAAGTACTTTTTGAAAGCATTAATGAAGACAAAATAATAGTGTTTTCTTAATAACCACTAACCAGTAAAAATATTAAAATAGAATACATAGAATCTGGAATAAGTTTATCTTTCTTTCATTTTTTAAGAAATTATAGTCTTGTTTATTATTATTATAGTATTTTTTTTATAAAAATTAAAAATTTAATTTGTTTATTATAATATTTTTCTCTCATACATATAACTTAAATTATAACTCAAATTATAACACGCATATTTTAATTTTTAATTTTCTTTCTTTTTTATATGCATTTTCTTATATTTGACGTCAGTTTTCAAAGGTCGGGATTTTTTATTAACTTGTTTATTTATTAACTGGAAAACATAAAATTGGTACTATAATGATCAGAGAGTAGAGATTGAAAAAAAAAAAAAAAAAAAAAAAAAAAAAAAAAAAAACCCGCGCAACAGCCATTTGATAATACGATAATATTACTTTTTTTTTTCTTTAGAAAAGGGGACAAGTCCTAATAGAGTATTGCTTTTTTCTTTAAAAAAATAATAAAATAGCTACAAATAATTGCACAATTTCTGTATATTATTAGGAAAGGCGTTGGAAATTGCAAGGATTGATTGCACAAATTATGTATACATAAAAATACTTTTTCTAAGAAAAAAAAGATCGTGAGGACAATTTTCAATCTTTTAGCTCCATAAATTCGAGAATAGAAAAAAACTAATTGACATTTTAAGATTCGTTTAGTTCACTGATTTGAATTTTTAATTTGAGTTGAGATGTAACTTTATGTGAGAACTTTTTACTGCAGTAAAAAAGTTAAATGTAACTGTTTTTAAGAATTTTTACTGTAGTAAAACTCGAATCGATGAAATAAATGATGGCATCGTTCACTTCACGAACTTAAATTTTTAATTCGAGTTGAGATGTGATATTTTTTGAGAGATTTTTACTGTAATAAAAAAAATTAGATTTGATATTTTTTTAAAAAATTTTATTATAAAAATCTAAAATTAAAAAATTTAAATCGGTAAAATTAACGAACCGATAACTTAATACACATATAAGCCTTGATTGGGTAAAACAAAATCAACTCATAGGGAAAAAAAAAAAACAATGACATTAAACAATAGAGAAAAGGAATATGAAACTAATAAATGAATAATAATAAAATAAAGAAAGAGGAAGGAAGAGAGAATAGAAATCGGTTATTGAGGAGTGAGGAGAAGGTAATGGAATGTGGTAATGTGGAATGGGAGGAAGAATGAGGTGGCAGCTTGGGGAAAAGTGGAGGACAGCATTGCATTGATTAGAAACCAAAAGGATTAGGACACATTGCTGTCGAGGTAAATGGACCGTCCCTTTCACTTGCAAACAGACAAACTTCTCTCTCTATCACTTTCTCTCTCCTCTTGTGTGTTTTAAATGGGCTGTCCCCATCACTTCATTTGTTTAGGAGCCGTTCTAAATAATTAATTTTCTGACTTTTAAATTTAATTAAAATTAAATGATATTAAAAAAATATGTATAATAAATAAATTTTAATATAAATTTAACCGGTTAAAAAAAAAATTACTGTTAGTTTTATTTTTTGATTCTGTAGAAGAAACTTTTAAAGAATAAACTTTAATTCTGTTTTCAATCGTCACATATGTGTCAGAATATAATGGTAAATTTAAGCCAAACTAAACGTGTCGGCTTAAGACTCATTATTGTTAGTTTAAGCCCGGTTTGACCCTAATCTCTGAGTCGATCCTGACCAATGATTCAAGTTCAAAAGTTTATTTACTAGCCCAGCTTGGTCTAAACACGATTTTTAAAAAAATATCTTATAAAATTTTAGGGCGAGCTGGATTGGGCCGTCCTTTCCTTATTTTGGGCCAGCATTAAATTTCATTCGGGTCGTCGGGTCCAACGGTTCGATCTTTCACTGATGGTTTGGAATATTCTATATATATATTTTTCATTTAAGATTTTTTTTTGTATGACTAGAATAAATTAACTATTGGTAATTTTTTATTTTTAAATGTTAAATATGTATCAAAAACTATTTATTTTATATATTTTTTTTTATTTTAATATGATCTAATAGTTACAAACTGACATTATTAATAAGATTAGTTTGCCAGAAAAACTCTCTTATTATTTGATGTGGTAAAAAATATACGCTAATAGGAAAATCCTATAGAGGGAAGACCCTTTTTTTTTTTTTTTTTTTTTTTTTTTTTTTTTTTTCCTTTTCCTCTTTGTTACTCATCCTCTCTTCTATTTGGGATCACTCACTTGTACTCCAAGCCCCACCACCTTCAACTTTTCCTATTCTCAATTGATCCCTCTTCAATTATTTGTTCTCTTCTAATGTTTATCAACTTAGTACTTTCACTTTTCTTTCATTATTGCTTTTTTTTATTTCCTTATAAATTTTCTTTCATTTATGTTGTTGAGAAATGCTGTTCATGTTTGGAATGGATCCCGTTTTTATTTTTCACGTTTTTCAAGAAAAAAAAAATAAAAATATTTTTAAAATAACGTTTGACGCAATAAAGATAAAAAATAAAAATGAAAACAATTTTTTGATTTAGTGTAAAATGAGAGAAAAATAAAAAATAATTTTTAGTCTTTTTTCATTTTCTCCTCTCTCGAACAATGAGAGAGAAAGAGAGACATTAATGAGTTTTTTTACACTAAAAATAATCTCTTAATATAATTATCAAACGTATTTTTAAAAATGATTTATGTCTGAAATTGTAAATGTTTTCATTTTCATTTTCATACAAAAAAATAAAATTTTTTAAAATGAATTCCAAACGCACCCGCTAATTGCTCTTGCGAAGATTTAGAGCATGCAAGCATAGTTTAAACGTTAGATTATGTGGATCTTGCTATAAAACCCACTATAATATGCAGCTCCGGCGCAGATAATATTTTCCTTATTGTTTAATATTCAAACAAAAAATAAATAAAGCATTTGTTAGTGTTATTAATCATTTTTAGAGGCGTGTGTGAAAAATAAATTGTTTACTTATACCTATTAAAGAATAATTCTCTTTATTTTATCAATATAATAGGTGACCACAAGAAAAATTGAAAGGAACCCAACACCCACATTCCTCAACCACCAAGTACTATTTTGTCATTCTATACAGTCTCTCCAAAGCAAATAAAAAGGTCAGTTTTAATTCTGCACATATGATGCAACATTAAAGTAACTTTTCAGTGGACTAAAATTAGGCTTGACAAACTGAGTACTAATTATTTATAATAAAAGTGATAATTTGTGTCACGTATCGTATTTTAATTATTTTTTTAATTTACATTTAATTTGAACATGATACGTGACACTAAATTTTTTAAAATAGCAATATAAGCACGACACGATCACTTTACAGGTTGATACGACACGATACAAAAATGATCAGTGAACCCAAAATTAACACAAAAATTATATACTTTTATTTATTTTTTACGTATTAGAAATAACTTAAAATTTATAATATATTAAAATACAATAACATCCATCAAAATTAAGTAAATAAGAGTATAAGATTTTTAAGTATAATTATTAGTCTATTATGATATCACAAGTTCATAATAACTAAAACATGTAACAAAATATATATATTAGTTTTTTACGAGTTTCGTGTCATGTTCAGGTTAAGTGAGTTTAATTTTAAATTGACTCGTATTTTTTGTGTCAATTTTAAGCTGACTCAATTCTGACCTAAATCTCTTTTGTCTCAATCTTAACCTGTAAAATTCATATTATTTTTGAATCGTTTAGTTGTGACTCATATTATCACCATAATTAGAAAGAGTTGTGTTATAAAAGAAAAAAAAATCAAAGTGAAAATCTTAAAGTGCAGTGCATGATCTTTTAAAAAAAAAAAAAACAAAGAGAGAGAGAGACTGCCACACGCAGACATGTCTCCAAGCAAGAAACAATGTGGAATAACAACAGCATGGACCGCTTGGTTCTCGTGCCAAGTGATTTCCAAGCTACCACCGCCAAGGAAACAACTCTTGGGATATTTTCTACTCTATACTTGATATATATATATATATATATATGGTCAAAAGTGCCATCATTTTTTATTAAGTTTTTCTTTTAAATGTGTACCATATCTATGTGTATCTTTGTTAATTGGGGGGGTTTTTTTTTTTCAAAATAAAAAATGCGCACCATGTCTATGTATATCTTTGTTATTATTTATTTATTTTTATTTTTAAATTTGTACCATATCTATACACAAATGTATTTTCTTTTCTATCCTCTGGCTCAGAGGCATCTACTTGGGGATGGGCTTTGATGATTTTTATCTCTAAGGAACCACGACATGGTCCCAACTGAATTTCTTTTTGGCAATGGAAGACCTATCTTTTCCCAATCCCCACCTTATTTTTTTTTTTTAAATTTATTATTATTTTTTTTACCTTTTTGCCAATGCTTATTTCGTGTTTTACTCTGTCCATCTTCCTTTACTAAATCATATTATAGGTGGAGGGAAAAACTGGTTCATGTACGGATGGTTGGGTGTTCCTCCTTTGTCATAAAAAAAACAAAACCCCACAACTTTTGTCTTGTTGACGGACCTCTCGATTCTTTGACTCTTGAGTTCCACCACATGTGACTACTCTCCACACTGCTGACAATATTGCATCATTATGTGTTGGTATATATATATATATATATGTGAATATGTATTTAGATACGTATATGATACATATGTATACATAAGGTGTGTGAATATTTTTTCATAAATCTTTCTTCATTTCGCTGGTTCAAGTTACAAACTAAGTTAAAAAGTGAATTCACATTAGAGATGACATTATAGTTGAAAAAACTTAAATTTAAATTTTTATGAAAAAAAATATTGTAATAAAAATTTAAATTGTGATTCAAACTAATGAAATGAGTGGGTATATGACACAGAACAAAACACATTCTCAAAAATTTTAAACCAAAATTCAATATTTTTATGAGAAAAAAACAAACCCACCAAACAAAACGGGGCCTAAGCGTGAGATTAACTGGGTCAAATAGGCCACCAGCTTACTATTTTTCCATGTCATTCGGTTTTGAGTCCAGCAGGAAGCATGGCCCAATTGAAACCTTGAGGTCTTAAGCATCAACAACTGAGTATAAAGATAAGAAAACCAGACCAATATTGACTTTCTTGGTTGGTAATATATATATTTTAGAAGCAGCACTGTTGACATTTTCTCAGTCTTGGGCTTGGTTCTTGCCATTTTTGGACATGACATTGGCTGGCCAATACTCATTGGAGAGTTTTTATGTTATTGCCATGATTGGCTCTTGCGCACTTTCGGAACGACATCATTATAATGTTGGATCACACACTCACCTTAATCAGTTCATCTGTCACACAAGTCTTAACAGCCTGGCCCCATCATACAATCTTTTCTTTGAATTCAAGCTTGATATAAGGAAATTTTTCTGGTAAAATAATTCCATCCATCCTGTCAATTTATAACCGGTAGATCTAATCATAATATGGATGTAATTAAAATCACATGAATATATATGAGTTTTTAATATATTTATAATTTATGACAGCTGAAATTATCTTTTTTAGTGCTATACGGGAGAAGATCCATTGATATAATTGTTCTCTACATTCCATGTTAGTGTTTTTCTTTTTCTTTTTCTTTTGGATACATTCCATGTTAGTTAAAAGCTGCAGAAAACGACTAGACTTCGCACTTCCTGCTATTACACAAACTCCCATAAAAGCATTAGAAATTTAGGCTTCATTAAAAGAAGTGAGAGAGATAAAACCTTAGACTCTTTGGATCAGGCAGAAAAAGTGTCAGGATTTTCTCACTGCCACGTTCAACCTACAAACAACAGATTGGATTCTTACAATCCCCAGTTAAAAAAAAAAAAAAAAAAAAAAAAAAAAAAAAAAATGCCCTGTCTTTACTATTGTTCCATTTCTATCTATAGAAACAACAAAATATAGTACAATGTTTCTGCTAAGCTCATTTGGTGTTGTTAGCTTCTCTTTTCTATTCTTCCTTGCTTTGGCTTTCTCAATAACATTGCCTCAACCAGCCCTTTACCTAATACAATTCCACAACAGCCTTCCCAACAACTCTCAAAATCTCTTGCCATGGAAGCTCTCAAACTCACCAATATCACCTTCTTCTCACTGCCAATGGGATGGAGTTTCTTGCTACTCAAGCAAGACTGGCTTTCAAGTCAAGGCTTTGAATCTCTCGGGATTTGGACTCTCTGGTGTTTTAAACAACTCGATTTCATATATTTGTCACAACAAACGTTTGCTCTCTCTTGATCTAAGTGGCAACAATTTCAGTGGTGGAGTTCCTCAGATGCTTGGAAACTGTGGCAAGATCAAAACTCTTCTACTAAACGACAACATCTTTGAAGGGTCAATTCCTCCTGAGCTTTTCCTATCCAAGAACTTGTCAAGGCTTGACTTGGGCTATAATTCTCTTTCTGGTAATATACCTGCTGAGGTAAGCTTCAGTGTTAGCCTTGAATACATTGGATTGCACAACAATTACTTCAATGGACAGGTCCCAAGTGAGATGTTTTCACTGCCAAATTTGAAATACTTGTATCTAAACACTAATAACTTTACTGGGTCTCTACCAGATTTTCCACCTTCTTGTGCAATATCTGATCTTTGGATTCATGAGAATTCATTCTCTGGATCTTTGCCAATTACTCTTAGCAGTTGCCAAAACCTTACTTCTTTTGTAGCATCTCATAACAATTTGGGAGGGGTTATTCCGCAAGAGAGTTTCAAAGATCTTTTGAAACTTGAAGTTTTATATCTTGATGAGAACAATTTAGAGGGTGAAATCCCAGAGAGTTTGTGGCGTCTTAGGAATTTGGAGGAGTTTGTTCTATCTGGAAACAAGCTTAATGGGACTCTGTCTGAGAGCATTTCCAAGTGTCTTGAGCTAACTATAGTGGCTCTCTCAGCTAATAAGCTGGTGGGGCAGATTCCTCATTCAATTGGAGCTCTCAAAGATTTGAAGAGTTTGTTTTTGTTTGATAACATGATCAATGGCTCTTTACCTCCTGAGCTTGGAAATTGTAGTTCACTTACTGAACTTAGGCTTCAAAACAACTTCATTGGAGGTGTAATCCCAACAGAAATTTGCAATCTTGAAAAGCTTGAGGTTCTTTTTCTGTTCAACAACCGTTTGGAAGGCCGCATTCCGGAGAACATATGGGATTTGAGGAGCCTTGTGGAGTTGGCTCTTTATAACAACAGCTTGATTGGTGAAATCCCAACTGAAATAAGCGGTTTGAAGAAGCTCACTTTCTTGTCTCTGGCTCACAACAGTATCAGTGGAGAAGTGCCATCTGATCTTGGGAGATACAACTCTCCTGGACTAGTTAAACTTGATTTGACCGGTAATTTGCTATCTGGACCAATCCCTTCTGGTCTATGTACGGGCAATAGTCTTTCGGTTTTGACCCTTGGAAGTAACCGCTTCAACGGCAGTTTCCCAGGAGAAATTGGAACATGTTCATCACTCAAGAGGGTGATTCTTAGCAACAATCTTCTTCAAGGGACTATACCAGCTGATTTGAACCAGAACGCGGGAATTTCTTTCTTACAAGTTCATGATAACTTGCTTGAAGGAATGATACCCCCGGTATTTGGTTTTTGGAGGAATCTCACAATGCTCGACTTTTCTGGAAACAGATTATCCGGTTCGTTGCCTCTCGAGCTTGGAAAGCTTCAGAATATTCAGATTCTCAGACTTTCTTCTAACAGGCTAACAGGGATCATCCCCACTGAGCTTGGCTATTGCAAAAAAATGATCAAACTGGACCTTAGCAAGAATTATCTTTCAGGGAAAATTCCTTCAGAACTCACATCATTGACAAAGTTGCAAAGTCTACTCCTTCAAGAGAACAGACTTACCGGTCCTATTCCCGACACTTTCTCTTCTCTCCACAGCCTCATTGAGCTGCAGCTAAGTGGCAACATGCTTGAAGGCTCTATTCCTTGTAGCTTCACTAAACTTCACCACTTTAGTTCAATGCTAAATTTGAGCTACAATGAACTCTCTGGTAAAATCCCAGACTGCCTTGGAAACCTAGACAAACTACAAGTTCTTGACCTCTCAAGCAACAATTTCTCCGGCGAGTTGCCTAGTGAACTGAACAGCATGATCTCCCTTATCTTTGTCAACATATCCTTCAATCAACTCTCTGGAAAACTCCCTTCTTCTTGGATGAAATTGGTTGCTTCATATCCAGGTTCTTTCCTTGGCAACCAAGAACTCTGCTTGCTAGGCAATGAGGCTACTAAATTCTGTCAGATTGAGGAGGCTAGAGACAACCCAAAAAGAGGCCGAATCTTGCCTGGTGTGGTTATTGGCGTGGTAATCTCGGTGACACTTCTTTGTATTTTTGTTTATGCATTAGTGGTTCGAGGCCTAGAAAAGAAACATAACCACGACGATTCTCTCCTACCCGAGTGTCAACCGAAAACCGAGTTTTTACCTAAAGATTTGAAGCTCGAAGACATAGTGCGCGAAACTGAAGGATGGAATGACAAGTATGTCATCGGCAGAGGAAAACATGGAACAGTTTACAGGACACAATCCATGAACTCAAGAAAACATTGGGCAGTGAAGAAGGTGAACTTGTCCGATAGAAACTTTGGGATTGAGACTAGAACTCTGAGTTTGGTTAGGCACCGGAATGTGGTGAGAATGGAAGGGTATTGCATCAAAGATGGTTATGGTTGTATCTTGACAGAATACATGCCTGGAGGGACTCTCTTTGATGTGCTGCACAGGAGTGAATCACGTTTACTTCTAGACTGGGGCACCCGATATCGCATTGCCGTAGGCATCGCACAAGGCCTTTGTTACCTTCACCATGATTGTGTCCCACAAATCATTCACAGAGATGTAAAATCAGATAACGTTTTCTTGGACTCTGAGTTGGAACCAAAGCTTGGAGATTTTGGGACAGCAAGGATATTGGCCAATGGTTCTGAGGATACAAGCTCCGCTAGATCAACAATTGTAGGAACACTGGGCTATATTGCACCAGGTATGTCCAAAAGACTTATTAGTATGGTGATTGAAAAGCTCAAAAACAATAACCTTATTATTTATATCTTCTTTGCTTATATGATTTTCTTTTTCATACATTTTCAGAAAATGCATATACGACCCGGGTGACGGAGAAATGTGATGTGTACAGCTACGGGGTTATCCTGCTAGAGCTTCTATGCAGGAAAATGGCTGTTGATCCGAGCTTTGAAGGAGTTGATCTTGTCACATGGACGAGGACGAGTCTAGATGAAAACAGTGACTGCAGTTGCTTGTTCGATGAGGAAATTAATTACTGGGATGGAAATGAACAACACAAGGCACTGAGGTTGCTGGATCTGGCGCTTGAATGCACAGAAACAACGCCTGCTATAAGACCCTCCATGAGAGATGTTGTAGGGTTCCTTATCAAGTTGAATGATATGCATGGATGAAGTGTTATAAATAGAAAAAACCAATTTTGATGGGAAACCACTTGATAAAATTACTCGGTTGTGATCAGATGACATTTTCAAGATTATTTATAGAGAAAGCATTCAAAGAATTTGAGTTAGTATTGTCCGAGTTTTTTTTTTTTTTCGTGAGCAGCCTTGACCAGAAACTAAATAAAGAACTGTATCCTCATAGACATGATGCATATTTTGATTCCTCTCTCAAATAAACTACTGATGAAACACAACCCCATTTGAATAATACAAATGTAAGTTCTAAACTTTCATCTGATACATGAAGCAACTATGGGACAACTCAGGAAATTAGTCCAACTGACAGTGTCATCATCATACAGTAAGTTGAAATTATTCTTTGAATGGGAGAAGAAACACAAAAAGGAAAAAAAAAAAAAAAAACAAAGCCGCTCTCACAGTGAGACAATTGACAATTCATGTCACAACGTGGAGCCGCAGAAGCATTGTCAAAGGCACCTACTCGGTTGCTTGTGTAGGCTGCAATTCTTCATTTTGTTTCAACTTTTCCAGAGCTGAAATTCGTGTGTCCAATGACTCATGCAGACCTTTCACCTGAAGAAACAAACATGGAATTAAAGATAAGTATCATATGCAACCTTTTCTTTTGGTGGAGGGGACCAAAAACTACCAAGGAGAATTCCAAGTGCAGGTTTTGACCTTCATAACAAAAAGAAATGTACATTTAATGAAACTTGATGAAGATTTGATAGTCCAAAAGATAAAGAGTATATTTTTGTTACCGTTACCAAAGAATTCTCTAACTAATAAAGACCATCATAATGATAAAAAAATACCAAGTCAATTCGCATTGAGATATACCTTCCCTTTCTTCCAACATTTTGGTAGAAGCATGGATGCTAGCATTATTAGTAGAAAATAATTGGTCTAAGATGAAAAATGAACCATATCAGAAAATCAACTAACTCAGTTTCTTAAACCCGCAACTTGTCCTTAACTTTGAATAAAAATGTACGAGGGAGAAGCACCTATCAACAGCAAGGAAAAAAAAATATGCAACTAAAAATAAGTTTTGCAAAAGAAGATAATGACCACCCAGAAATCGTCAGCAACTTCAATGATCAAACATATGTGTCCCTCACATGCAGGGTAATATCAAACATATAAAGAGCACAAGATAGAACTTTTACAGCAACAAGAGACGGAAGAATAAAATAAAAAAATATAAAAAAAAGACTACTATGAAATGGATACTACATCACATCCTTTTCCACATTTCCTCTATTAAAATTCCCACATTCCTTTTCCATATTCATTATGTATATATGCCCTAACAAATTTCATGCCTCAAACTCAGATTTTTTTTTTTTTTAATTTCATGCCTCAAACTCAGATTTTTTTTTTTTTTTTTTTTTTAACAACAACGGCAACGATATGACAACAAATTCGAGCAATTCAACTTATTAGGGAAATTGACGATAATTGTCGAAGTTTCAATATTTTCCTAATTCACTTTCAATTTCAACTTGGCGTACTCCAATTCCAAAACATAATTCTATCAGTTTATACATTGAAATCATTAAGATGAAACCCTTATTGCTCAATCCAATCCAATTCTCGCCCTTTGAGAATTCAAATTCACCACTAAATCGGTTCTAAAGACAACACGAACACAAAAGATCGGCTTAAAAAACTATTCTTCCACATACCCATCAAATATCAAGAATTCCCAAACCCAAAAATGTGATAATCTTAAAAATAAAAAAATAAAAAAAAAGATGAAGAAGTTAAAGCCGAGAAATTAATTAAAGAGGAAAAAGAAAGAACAATACCTGTTGAGAAATGGAGTGGTGGCCGACCTTGTAATCGTTGTGAAGGATGTAAAGCCCCAAAAACGACGCCGTCGCAGCCCCCGCGAAGAATGACGCTGCTCTCACTCTCAGAACGTAACCCATTTTCTTCTTCTTCGTTCTCCTTTTACTGCTTCTGAATCTGAACTATATAAGCGTCGCTTTATAGGAACGTTGTTTTGTTGCAAGGTTAAAACGCATCGCTTTAAGCCTCTTCCTCGGACGTAGTAAAAAGAGAAAAACCAACCTTGCCTTGGCAATATCATTTTTATTATAAAAAAAATGAGAATTTAAAAATGAGAATTGGATTCTAAATCAGAAAAATACAATTACTAGGAGACATTTGGTTCATAGATTAGAATCATGATATTAAAATTATTTTCGATTTACGTGTATTTTTTGTGAGAGAAAATACTGTAACGAATCACGAACCATGATTCGAATCGGGGTACGAATCTCCTAATTAAACAACTCATAATTGATACGCGAAAGACCATAATACATTTAGTGACTCAATCTCAACTATAAACTAGAACCACGAGAACAACCAACCTTGTCTTAGTGAGATCATTGTTTTTCTCCGTTTTGTTTTATTTATTTTAGGGTATTTTATATATGTTCCTTCTAAACTTTTAATTATGATAATTTTCTCTATACTAAAAAACTGTCTAATTTATCCCGTTTAACAAATTTTGTTATGTTTTTTACCGATTTAAAAGATTGAGAGTTGAAAAATTGAAATTTGTTTGTTACGATTTGAATTGAGGTATTAAAATTTTTTGTCGAATGTGCTCTTTCATCACCAATTTAACACAATTCTCATCAAAATGAAATACTTTACAATAATTTCATAAATTAAGAGGTTAATTGTCAACTAAGATTAGTTGTTAAAACCCTACAAGTTCATAAATAAAAATGGAAAATACCCTTTATTTCTTTTTGAAGCATCGCGCGTATAAATAGAGGGAAGGGTAGCCAGTACAGAAATGCAACGCAAAGGAGCAAAGTGTCACCAGTCAAACGGCTTCACCACCACAATAATACCATTTGCTGCTTCTGCGTTTTGGCTTTGGCAAAGCTAGGGCTAGGTTTTCTTTGTGGGCATTTTTCTTTTTTTTTTTGGAAATAATAATAATAATACATTTTTTTGTTGGTTTTTCTTCTGAGAGAGAGAAATCAAATGCAGCAGTCATCACATTCACAAATGTTCAATGGGGGCCCACCTTCGGTTCCTATTGCCAACATCACAACCCAAGAGATTCAAAAGGTTCGAACTTTTTTACGTTTATTATGTACATAATACATGCACTATGTATCTCCCAACTACATTGTTTATGTATTCACATTTGGCATTCCCTTAGATTCTTTGCATATTAGTATAGTATAATGCACAAGTCATGGAGTTTCTTGAATCAAGATTCAAGAATGTATTGGTATGATGAAATGTCACGATCATAAAGATTGCCCTGAAAACTTCAAAGGAACAAAGAAGTTTTGAAAACATCTGTACTGTTTCTTCTTTTTTCACTATCTTGTATCCGAAGTAGGTGTGTCTATTCTTGTTGCAGTGCCTGGAGGAGAATGAACAGTTGATTCTGGCTGTAATGGAACACCAAAGAGTCGGAAAATTCGACGAATGCGCGCCGTACGTGAGTTTTTCCAATGCTTCCATCCATCTTTTTGCTTTATTATTTGAGTTACGGAAGGAATAAACTAGTTTGCAACTATGTGCTCAAAATATTTTACATTCTCTTGTTATATTGAGGTGACCAAAATTTTTTTGTTCATGTCGACTTTATGGTTGATAGAAGAGGTGTCTAGTAATTGTTGGAAGAATGCGCGAAACTCCTGTTTGCTGGTTTGGGAATTGTGAAGAGAAAGTGTCGACAGATTATAGGTGTTGACGTTAAAAGATCTTCATTAACACTTAACAACTGTGCAAAGATTTGGTCAGCGAATTATACTACTAGGAAAGATAGGACATGGTACCTCATGACAATTGTACAAGATAAAGCAATTGGTAGTGCAAATAACAGATAGATCATGAGTGAAATAGGTAAATCATACAATGGTAATCAGGGTCTTTTGGTCTTGCATAAAAAATTTGTCACTTGATTACGAATTTTGCTAATTTCTAATGTTAATTCTTAGGTACTTTCATTGTTTTACGTTAATACCCGATATCTAATGCACTGATATTCTAGTCCTTTCCATCAATGACTCGTATGGTTGCTTGATTATCTTATGGTTCTTGAACGTAATAATCCTCAGTAGCAGCTTTTATTATAGAGTTAGAGGAATCCAAGGAACCACGCTGATAACTCTATGAAATTTGAACATTGCAGCCACCGAGCGCGGCTTCAGCAGAACTTGACATTTCTGTCGAACCTTGCTGATGCCCTGCCACAACCTCCACCACCATCCGTGCCTCCTCAGGTGGATTGGCTGATAAATGCAACACGCTTCTGAAACTTTTCACTATCCAATTTTGAGTTTTTGCTTATTCGAAAATTGTTTGCAGATACTCCCTCAGTTGATAGCACAACAAGGGCAGTGCTTGCAGCATCCTGAGGCAGCATTAATGTCTCAGCAGCAACCGGCTTCTTCCATGGTGAGAATCCACTTTTGGCCGAATAATGATCAGCAGCAACCATCTTGCTTCCACCAACAGCATTTCATCCAAGCGCAGATGGGCGCCAACCCCATTGCAGCGACCGACATACATATGGCCTCGATGCAAATTGGAGTTGGAAGTAGAAGCAACACGTCGGATGTGACGGGAAACAATCAAGTTGGCTTAGGGTCTGGGAATGCTGGCAATTTTCTGGGAAATTTGTTTCCTGGATACAGTGGTGGAGATCCAGGATCTTAGGTTCAAATGTTGACGAAAAACTATAGTAGTTTTGAAGAAGTACAATATTAGTTTGTCTCGTTGTTATCTCGGAGTGATTTCCACAGGACTTCAATGAGAAGTTTTTTTTTTTTTTTTGGATAGGTATACAAAAATGAGATTACTAGTCTAGCTTCTAATCTTTATATAATTAATAATTATGATAGTTCAGAATTATATAGGTAGATTAAGATATTTTTCTAATCTTTATATAATTAATAATTATGATAGTTCAAAATTATATCCTACCAAGAAGATTTTATCATACTGTATAACAGAATTGCACTAAATTGTCACTTTTCTGGTTATTTGGCTGGCATTCTTAAAGGTCCTACTTTCAAACAATCTTAATGGTAAGTTTATCTTCGTGTAATCAACATGGACATGAATCAGAGTGAGCACGATTCAAAATGAATAAGAATCAGAGTTAAAATTAGTTACTTACTTAGTGACAGGATTCGGAAACGAAATCATTCTAAATCTCATTCATGCGTTTACTTACACCTAAAATCGAAATGAAACAATATAAAAGTATTAATATACCCTTTAAGTCAATTTGATATTTTTAATTTAAAAAATAAATTGTGTACTTATTGTATTAAAATTAATCATAATTAAAATATTAGTGTAATAATAGGGTATTAAAATAATAAATATAAATTGTACAATTATTTAAAATATAAAAATAAATTGTTAAAAATTTAAATAAAAAAAATAAAAAAATAGTGTTAAAAATTAAAATATATTATTAATTTATTAAACAAATAAAATACATATTTATTATATTAAAGTTAACAATAATTAGGCTAATATTATAATATTAACCTAATAAAATAATAAATATATATTGTAATTATTATTTTTTAAATTTTATTTTTAATTTTATATTTATAAGTAAAATAAGAATATGATAGTAATTTAATGTTAATAACATGAATGAGAGAATTAATCCCATTCTTCAATCCCAAATTTAAATAAGACCACCAATCTCACTCTTATTTTAGGATAAAAAAGAGCAAATAACATAATATTAACTCTCATTTTCTATTTTTATTCCTCAATCCTGATAAATAAACATGCCATAAGGGCGTCGCAAGGTAGAATTTGTGGTTTTTTTTTTTTTTTGGGTAGAAATTATATTATATTAGCTGCTACCAGCAAAAATTCCGACAAGGCAATAGATGGGACCAAACATCATGGGCATTAATGGAACTCAATCAAACGCTTGAACAAGCAGGATTTTTCATTTTTTACGCGTCTTTCTCACCCCGAAAAGGAGTAGACAAATGCATCTTTTGAAACTCATTCAGCCAACTTAAACCAAAGACGTTCAGATTTTTGAAGCTTCAAAGATAGGAACTTTCATTTCAATAAATGTAAATTCACCGCACAGAAGCAATTGTGAGCATGATGAATATCGCCCCGAGCGCGGATTAAAATAAGAGTGCAGTCTTTAAATGACGAGACACACTGGAAAACTAACGTTGCCTTAGAAGATAAAATAAGATTAGAAAGGAAAAAGAAAAAATAAGACCAAACATCAAAAATCAGCAGACAATTCCGATAACATAAATCTACGAGTTGCAAGAATTCTGTTATCTTCCACCAGCTCCATCAGCAAACCGGTGCCCGTTCGGTGATAACATTATCTATGAATCGCTCGCACTTCTCCTGCCAACACCAAGTAAATAAGCACAGGCATGACATAGTAAAAACTTGCAAGCATAGAGACAGTGCAGAAAACATATTGCAAAGTTTTGCTCACAAATGACGAGCCATTTTGCACAGTTATCAAATTCCGTTCTCGGTAAGCCACTTACTATCTTCTGGAAGTAAACGAGGCACCAGTCAACCTGCGTAGTGCAACAGAATAATTCACTTTAAGGATAACACGCATAGCCAATGATCAAACAACCTAAAGCTACACGTGCTTAGAATCACACCTGCCCTGCTGCTTGGCGCCAAAGTTCGAGCTAGATCTACCATTAGTCGATCCTGAGTTTTGGTTACCGCTCCCAACTGTCAAGTGTACAGATGTCTGGCTAGGCCTACCTTCAAGGCCATTCAGTTCACGAGACTCCATTGACTTGCTCAAAATTTTCACATTTGTTAGACCTTCAGAAACACCAAAATATGCACCATTTTGTTGCTGATTCTGCTTCACACGGAAAAGAAAGGGATTAGCCAGTTGCATGTAGAGGATAATTTTTTTGAAAATTGACCTTGTCAGACTTCACATTTATTGGAAGCAAGGGGTGGAACCTTTTTCTGTCTGTTCTGTGCCATTGGGGTAACAGCCACAGAAGGCAAACTTGACGAGTAAGGAGATGATGCAGCAGCTGCAGCAGCAACTTTGGCAACAGCTGCCGTAGCTGCTACCATTTTTTGTGCTCCTTCGCGAAGCTGAATGTAATCTCCCTCAATCACGAATAACTGCACCAAAAAAGGCAATATTATAGGTAATAACATACTCTTCATTTTATTACCGCTGCAAACATAGTACTCTCAAGAAACTTACTTCAGGGTGGCCAGCTACAAAGTCATCAAGCTTTCCATATTTTTTCTTGTAATCATGCCAGTGCAAAGGTGCAAGCATCTTTCCAAGTCTATTCGGTAACTGTACTTGACAAAGAACAAAAAACCACATGTAACTTAGAAGAATATATCAATGTCACGCCCCCTGCAATAACCTATAGCTTATTATAGCACTTACAGTCGAACTTATGCGAATTCTACCACCAGCTGGAATTGTGCGAACTATGCAAGCTAGCATCGATCTTTCATCAAGAAGAAGAATCTCTGAAGTCCTTCCCATGGTCGGTGACTTTGTTTGAGCAGCAGAGACAAATGCTTCAGGCGAGACTGCATCAGTAGCATTGTTAACGGAGGTTTTGTCAAAATTCACTGGATGATTTGAAGTATCAGCCTGTGATGTATTGGCAGCAGAACTAGGTTGTTCTGCAATTAAAGCTTGGTCCGCTAAGCCACCATCCATCGAGGTTATAACAGTTTGCTCATTTGCCTGTTTCAATAATTATTTAAGTCCTTATAAAATAAACGGATAAATTAACTCCCCAAATCATAAAACATGCCAACTGAAAGTAAAAAACTAAGGATTCGTTTGTTTCATACGTTTAAACCCATGGTTTTGATTCCGCTACAATGTTTTCATCTCACAAAAAATTTAAATTTCAAATGCTAAAATCAAGAAGCACTGGGTTAAATGCATGAACCAAACGGGCCCTAAAATTCACAAACCTTAGTTTCATTGTTCTGCTGACTCGACTCCACCCTCAATACATCCTGAAACTGGGATGAGATTTGTTTCAATTCCTCCTCAGTTTGGGAAGCAACCAGATAACCTCTATCAATTGACTCGAGAACCTGAAACAAAATTTCTATTAACAGCGCATCCGCATATACACATAATAATTAACAATTAACAGCATCTTCGTTTATAGAACCTGTGCTTCCCCAGACGACGAGATCACAGAATCAGGATTCGATCCTCGACCAATGTGAACATCCAAGTACTCCGCAGGTAGAGCTTGTCCATTAACAGACATCTCATAGCTGTAATTTTCTTCTGATCTTATCAGGTTTTGATCACCTTGGGATGATGTAATTTCAGTTTGTGACACTTGTGCACCCTCTGTTACAGCCTAAATAATATAACGAAGAATATGAGTCAGATCCATTACCATATATATTAGTACGGAAAGACGATGCTTTCATGTGTCAGCACCTGTTGGTTCTGCCACTGTTGAAGGGATGACATTGCAGGAACTGAGTGAAAATTCCCAACATGAGATTGGGGAACATGAGTCACAGAATGGGGAACTCCTTGTTGATGCATGACAAATGGATGTAGCGCTGTCAACTGTCCAGGTGGAAGGTAAGAAGGCATCCCAAGTATTGATGATGGAGGGATTGGAACACCAGCAACGTGGTCAATCTAACAATTAACAGAAACATTAATTAAGATGGAGCTTATCTTTTGTTCTTCGTGCAATACTGTTTACTTATCATTTCCATCAAAATGAATTTTCCAACACATCATTGTATGAACAATGACAGAGGAAAACAATACAACTATGCATCAGTGAATGAGAATTAGAACCACAATAATTTTTTTAAAGGAAACTTTACCTGAGTTGATGAATTTCCAGTTGGAGCAAATGATGGACCATTGTCAGAATTTCCAGTTGGAGCAAATGATGGACCATTGTCAGAATTTCCATTCTGAAGGGCCCCAGTGCCTCCACTTGATGTACCACCTCCATTCATCTCTAGTTGTTTTCCATCATTCTGACCATATTGAGATGCATCCTTCAAATTTTCTTGGGATATACGTGATTCATCACTTAAAGTTCCATTCCTTTCCCTTGCCTCAGCCAGCTCGAGTTGAAGCTGTTGCAGTGTATGCATGTGAAGTCTCTCCATCTCTGCAAACTACCATAAAGAATCCAGAAATAGATACATAAAAATCAACAAAAGAACTTTAACATATAAGGTTTCAGATGTTATTCAATTAGTTTCACATTAACATAAACACATGACAAGATTCTGTGATAATTGACACCAAAAAGAAAAAAAGTGAGCAGAGAAAACCAAAGAGATCAAACCTGTCTTTGACAACCAAGCCAGAGCTGATTATACTGTTCTGTACGCTCTCTTAGTTCAGCTTGCAGCGTAGTTGACTGCAGGGCATCCATCTCCTGAACACGGGTAATCCATGCTTGGGCCTCCCTTAATCGGTCATCCTTATAAAGTATGGTTTCTTGAGCAACCCTATGCTGAATAATGTTGATTAAGAGTTAGTCAATGTGCATCTTTACAAGCTAAACATTCAACGAAAAGATTATGAACTCCAAATTTAGTATTACTCTGTTCAGATATCCAGGACTATAGAAACAATATTACTGAGTATTTTACAAATTTACAACTAAAGGGAAACTGTTAAATTTTACAAATAGGTATTTATCCACCTTCAAACTTGCTAACTTGTATCAGCTTCCACATCGGTAGGACGATACAACTTATACAAGTACATTACAAGCATGTTCTTGAACACCCCCACACACACACACACACTCCCCACCCAGAAAAAAAAAAAACTAATAATAAATAAATCGTATATTACAAGCTTGCAGAAGAGACAGACCTGTTCCTGCAACTCTATAAGCTGTCTCTCTTTTTCCTGAATATGTTCTTGAAGATCATGGAGTTTTTTAATGTGTTGGGCTCTTTCAGCTTCAGAATGATCACGCTCTCTTCTGCCAACAGAAGACAATTTCAACAAAGAAAATGTCACTTTATTCACGAGGTCAAAAAAACAACGTAGTTAATCTAAAATGGAAACCTTGTGAGACCTATAGATAGTGCCACAATGGAACAAGTACTAAGCTCTGACCAGAACAGTACTATTGTAGGATTGTAAAGTTCAATTCTAACACACACACAAAAAACAATAGTACTATTATATGGCATATATATGGGATTGTAAAGTTCACTTCTAAGACACACACACAAACGAACTAAAATACCGGAAGGTTGCTAATTCTTTGTTCTGTTCTCTAAGAAGGTCTTCTTTAGCCCACGCCTGCCAAAGCAATTAAGAAAAAAAGTAATTGCATGTTCAAAAATTTCAGTAAACACCATCATAAGAGAATAAAATAAAATAAAAAATAAGTAAAGAGTCAACCAACCGCTTCATTATCTAATTTGATAGCATGAAGCTCTCTATCTTTATCTTCCAATTTCCTTTCAAGCTCATGTATGGTCTGATCCCTTTCATGCAGTTGCTCCTACATCACCAGAACAGATAAAACCACCTTTTAGAAGGATTATCAATTTCCCATTAATAACTATTTTACGCATTTGATACTATGTCAACGTGTTTAAAAGGCATAGCATTCGATGAAAATTACATACAAATGTATTCTAAAATAAAACTAAATAGTGAAACATTTTTATGTAATTACAACATAAAAGGATGTATGAGTTTCATATTGTTCAACAAAATGCAAATCTCTTGCAGAAACTACCATCCATCACAACCTTATTCAGATAGAATCTCTTTCTAACATGCAATCTAACTAAGGGGGGAACAAAACAACAAAAACCTGAAACTTGGAAGAAGTGTTAGCGTGCTCCTTGATTTGAGCATCAAAGCTATTCTGCATTTCAATTAACTCAGATCTAGCAATTATCTGAGCTCGAAGTTCAATCTCCATGTGTTGCATTTCCTCTCTTTGCCTTGTAACATCGTGAAGCCTCCGCTGCAAAAGATCATTGTCTAAGCTTCCATCGATTGTGATTGAGCAGAAATCCACATCGAGTGGCTCTCTTCCATGCTGCACCTTGATGATGGTAAACCATATTAACTTTCAGGATTTCATCAAATATAAGGTATTTTTACTATCAGAGTCCTTACCTCGTATATGGTTCTCTCTTCCGA